TGGATGTTTCAATGCACAACTACATCAGCTGCGTCCACGACTGTGACGTATCTACTGATATGTACTTTCATGCTGTCACAGAGTGTCCACGCGAGTATTTCAAGCTGGACATAATAATGTTATGCAAGATGGACACATCACAGGACCAGTTCTACGGAATTCCTGCGACTGGGTTGAAAACGGGTCTAACCTACCGGAACATCTACTGTGCCCAGTGCCATGATGAGGACGCCATTCTCTGGCAAGTTCATGGTATTGGTTTAGTTAAAAACAACTTTGCTGTGAATGATTCAGTCAAACTGTCCGATCTGGCTGCAATCAACCACCGGTATTTGAACTTTCTTCCGTCAAGAAATGACAGGTTTCGAGCATGCCAACCCAACCTTATTACCACCTGCCCGGACTCTGATAGTTCCTATGCCGATGCATGTGTAAACGCCACTGGGTTTCAACTCGTCTACACCGGGTATGGCAAAGTTTTCAGGAACCCCCACTGTGCAGCATGTAATATGAATGAAAGCATGGTGTGTAGGAATCCAAGCAAACCGTCATGTAACGCAAAAAGTAACCCACTCTTTCCAAACATTATAATATTTTCCTATGACTTTTACACCAGACAAGGCAACATGACTCTGTATGGCAAGAAGGTGACCGATGCACAGATTTCGTGTAATAGTTCATGTTTTCCTTTCGAGATGTTTGACCCCTTCATTGACGAATGCCGGGCTGTTCGCTGTGAACCTGGGAAGACGTTGTTTAAAGGAAGGTGCCACAACACCACTAACATCCCCCTGAGTGCTGAAGGTAAAACACCCCGATTCACTGATCTGATCAAGGGGCATGATAACTCCACAGGTGTATGTTCCAGTTGTACTGGGCGCCCTGCTCCGCCAGCAGCAAGTGGCGGAAGTAGCTTCTCTGCTGTGAGGCATTCAGTGATCACGATGTGTATGATCCTTTTGTTTTAAAATAGAATATGTCCGTTTTCGCCAATATACCTAAAGTGGTCAGTATGTTAGATGGTTCACCTATAAATTCGTCAGCAGCGGAAATACGCCTATTTTTATGTATGTACATATAGATTTTTGCTTGTACTATATATAAATCATACCCGTGAAGATCCGGGTTAGAAAAGGTTTTCAGCAACCCATGCTTGCCGTAAAATGCGAGTATACTTGTCGCAAGAGGCGACTAACGGGATGCTCATGGTGTCAATCACTGGATTGTCTGGTCCAGACTTGATTATTTACAGACCGCCGTCATATAGCGGGAATATTGCTGGGTGCGGCGTTAAACAACAAACAAATAAGCAAACAGTACATAAGGGTATGGCGATGTAGCCTAGTGGTTGACGCATTTGTTTACAGAGTTCAATGCATCACAGGGTTACAATAGTTATGGAGTCCATGAACTCAAGAAGTCAAGATTACTCTAAGGTCAAGGTTAGCATTTAGCAAGTACATGTATAGTTTTTCCAGTGTCGGTTTCTGGGGCATCGTTACCTCTACACTGAACTTTATATTTACACGTTTCTTCAGAAATCTTTAACAGTAGTATCATTTTCCCGTGAAAGTGGTTCAAAGAATATTGACATAAGAGGATATCCTACAATGGCCTTATTCCATGGCGCAGGCTAAAACGGCACATCAGCAAAACGTCACCGATTTCTTGGGCGAAAACGGCTCCGCATTTGGCGAAAACGGCTACTTTGTGTCGGGCGAAAACGGCACCTCTATTTTTATATTAGTAAAATTTATTAAGTAGTATATATGATATATGTACATGTTATTTGATGTATTTGATGTATTTACATGTCATTTCCTGTTTTCCAGTTATTCACAGATAACTACAGATATTCACATGTATACAGTTCTTCATAGTTGTCACATATTGTCATCTTCACGTGTTTACATCACATGTTTCCAATATGTGGCTATTACAAGTTATGTCCCTTCTATGTCCCTTCTATTGGCCGATAAGGTTCCATCGCTCATATCGCGTGCATTTGCTTCAAACAAAATGGCGACGCTCAGTCAAGAGATCTGATCGATAATCAAGACCTATATTGTCATAAAACGGGTCGTACCCCGCGAAGTGCATCAAATCACTTGAGCATCTTGATTAAAAACATGAAAATATTTGCGAAATATCTGTCGACGCCAAGTTGGCGGTACACATGCCTTGCTAATCCTGCAGTCGACCGAAATCTGCATGTAGAATTCCATTTTGTTTACGAACCGTTTTTTTAGTTCGTTACGCGATTTTGATTGGACAATGCATAGTCTCGTTAGTCGAGCCAAAACGTAACTCCGGAATTCCAGCCTAGTTCGGCAAGGGTGGAAACTGGACTTATAAAGTCAGTTAACGCCCTTGCATCGGGAAGATTGTACATACAGTGAGAAGGTCTAAAGTCAAGAAATAGAAAAGCTGACTCAACGTTTGTGGTTACATTTCGTTGAAAACTCTTGCATGTATTATTTATCTTGGTATATATATATATATATATATATATATATATATATACCTTCTCACGGATGGGGCACTGTTTTGTTAAAACAAGGCACAGGTCAGACACAGCTTTAATTTGGTTTGTATAAAACATGGATGTATCTTTGTCAGTTTCTGAGGCATGGTGGGCATGGGGCGCCGCTTTTAACATCATTCCAGTTACCGTATTCGACGTAATAAGCGCCCAGGGCGCTCTCAAAATTAGAAATAGGAGACTATTAGAATATTATTTTGGTGAGAAAAAAAAACAGAGTTAAAAGATAAATTTCGTGGTTTATGCTAACAGTCTGAAATGTTTATATACGACAGATATATTTTTCCAGAATTTAATTGCTCATAATTGAGGGTGCATATTACACACGAGTGCGTATTATACACGAATAAATAGGTCTTGTGTACATTGATCAATCGGAAGGCGTGCTAATTGGGATTGTTCACTAGCCAATATATTAGCAAATATCGCCATAGGCGCTTATTACGTCGAATACGGTATATCACGGCGTTCTGCAGACATGAAACTTCTATTTGTGTGTAGCTGTGCACATCCCACCGCATATGTGTATTGGTTGTTAATCAAAGGTCATCTCTGATGTGAAATATAGCTGCATCACTAGTTCTTTTGTTGTGTGTTTACTTGTACAATCTCGAGACTTGATAATGGTTGTCTTAATGAAGGTCAAGGTTTGGAAATCTCGGCATACAGGCCTGATGTTATATGTCATTACCGTACGCTGTATTGTGCGATGTAAAGTTCTAAACATTGAAATAAAATCTTTGTAAAAAATATGGTGTTTATTATTTCTTGACTTATCAACAGGAATCGTCAGGATTCCGGGGCATCCAGTGAACAAGTATTCTTTTTAGTAAATGCTCTGGCAAAAGTCTTCTTTTTCTTAATTTTCCGAAAGATTGAATACCAGCTGGCTACCCCAGAATATTAAATGACTAATTCCTGGGCGAAACATGTTCAAATATAGAGCCAATATCCGACCTGAGGCTATTCAGAGTGGGCTGAATGTTATAGGTCGTGAAATCATTAGTGGGATAAAGAAAGTAGATAGTCGCTTAATCTGGTCTATGTGAGAAGCACCCTCGAAAATCCGGGTTAGAATAGGTCTTCAGGTACCTATGCTTGTCGTAAGAGGCGACTAACGGGATCGGGTGGTCAGGCTTGCCGACATTGTTGATGCATGTCATCGTATCTCAGTTGCGTGCATCGATGCTCATATGATATCAATCACTGGATTGTCTGGTCCAGACTTGATTATTTACAGACCGCCGTCATATAGCTGAGTACGGGTCCTTTGAAATCTTGAAATCTTGTGAGAGTGTGGAATATGCAGTTATCGTATGCCCCAACTAAGCCGCTTTTTAAATACAGTTCCTAGTACTTTTGTAAAAGTCGAAGAAAGAAGCTTACTACATATTTACACGATAAGCACATGATCGACCCCTCTCGCATGGTTTATCGAGGATAACTGGGAAAAAAATAGAACGGAAACTTTAGTTATCATTTAAACGTGCATAAAGATTCTTGTTAATATTTGTGTAAATAGTACGGTGGCCCATAAGGGACATGGAGTTTGTTTTTCAATATTTTGATATTTCACTTACTGTTATCGTAACCTTTTGCAAATTAACACGATTTGTCTTACAAATATGTGATAATTCATGTGTAAAGAAGATATTGAATCGCAGAAAAGTGAAACGAAAATGTCAAAAACTAAAATGAAAATGTCAAAAAAAACAACGAAAATGTCAAAAACTAGAATGAAAATGTCAAAAACAAAAGCGAAAATGTCAAAAACTAAAATGGAAATAGTTTTCTGTGGTTTCATTTTAGTTTTTGACTTTTTCGTTTAGGTTTTTGACATTTCCATTTTAGTTTTTGACATTTTCGCTTCACATTTCAGCGACTCAATAGCTACTTGAAAGTACATTTTCCATGTTTTCGGTTGTTTTTATACATGATTTATTACATATTTGTATGACAAATTGTGTTAATTTGCTAAAGGTTACGATAAAAGTAAGTGATACTTAAAAAAAGGAAAAACAGACTCCACGTCCCTTATGGGACAACGTAAAATAGATACAGTTTCTTGAAAAAATCTAGTGAACGACAGATGCAAAGGGTCAAAGGCGTTCGTACTCTGATCGAGCATCTTTGTTAGAGTTAAACATGTGCTCTTAACATCACCTGACACCTACAACGCTGTTGAGAGTACCTCAGTCACTTATTAGAAAGGGGGCAAGTGTCTGTACATAGTGCTATTTTACGATATGGTTCATTCAAAATCTAGCGGATTTTAAGTTTGTAGTTTCATATCAAATGAAACAACTTACTGATTAAACGAACAAAGACCCCATTCCGAAGGTTGTGTGTCAAGCGAACCGATAGACTGGTACCCTGCTTTTCGCATCAGCTGGCGGCTGCATAACCCTACCGTCCGCGCAACAGAGGCAAGGAACAAGTCTAGCGAACAGACTGAACCACCCACCGGACAGAATAGAATCGCCCTTTTCTACTTCCGGTATACGTTTCTCACATGTTCGAAAGGAGGTAAACAACGCGGGTGTCAGCTCGCTTGAATTAAAAATGCCGGTAGCCGAAGATACATCAAGGAATGACATTTTCTTTGTGAGTATTTTAGTCATAAATCTGAATATATTTTTTGGTTGTACAATATCTGATTAGATCTATCTCTAAACAAGTGTCAACAATACTCTGTATACATCACTTGCTTGATAACGGTGTTAGAACCTACACCGTAACGTCGATCCTAATTGTAAAAAAGAAGTTGTTCATCCATAAATCTTATCCTTACTTAGTACTCCAACTTCTAACCGGTGAAGTTCCGGGGTAGAATAGGTCTTCAGCAACCTATGCTTGTCGTAAGAGGCGACTAACGGGATCGGGTGGTCATGCTCGCTGAATTGGTTTGAAGCATGTCATCGATCCCAATTGCATGGATCTATGCTCATGATATCATTCACTGGATTGTCTGGTCCAGATTCGAATATTTACAGACCACCATCATAAAGCTGGAATATTGCTGAGTGCGGCGTAAAACAACAAACCGACCAACCAACTAACCAACTCACAACTTACAACTTCTCAATGCCTCTCAAAGAAGAAATGTTGTGATGGCCGGTTGTTGATTGTTCTGAGTTAGTTTTTCTTTCATGTTCTAAGGTGGGAATTAAGAATTGAATAAATAAACTCAATAACATTTTATTTTATCATTTATGTCAGTTTCTTGGATCAATTGCTTTTACACAGGAGCACTTTTCGATAATATACAACAGTGCTAAATAGGAAATTATATCATGTTATATAAGACAAACAAACATGCAACATCTAGGCAAGGCTATAGGCCCCTAGAATATGTTACCAGGGACCTTTATTGTCTCTGGTGTTACGTTTTATTATCTCTCACAAAACACACATACATACACACGGAGGGAGCTCTGCATTTTACCATGATAACCTGGCACACTTTTTGATCTACGTGTTATGTATTTTGGGCAATAATTTGAATTTTAGCCTTCTTTGAACATGTTAAACATGATCTTATATAATCTCTCAAAAAACAGATTTGCCCCTGTAAACTGTTCCCTCATGCATGATATCATAATCTGTTTAATTTGTTAGATTTTACTATTGATGCCATCATGCCAAAAATAGTTGAATGTTAATCAGACAGAAACTTTTGTTCAGTGGCTCTCTATTAAAATTACATCACCTACATGTCCAGGTGTGCAATTCACACACTATTTCTTATTCCAGTTAGCGTGAGGATTGAACTCATGTTGCCAGATTAAAGGTTTGCTTGACCAATTAGTTGATTAATTATGAACCCAACCATGGGTGCATCCACTTAACCATGGGGGTCACCACACATGATTAGATCTTGTTTACCTGGCGATCAGGAGATCAGGAAGGAGATCCAAGGGCTGACGATAGAGTTGGGGATAGAGAAACCTACCCTTACATTAAGACAACTAATCCTATGCATTGAAAACACACACACACACACACACACACACACACACACACACACACGAGAGAGAAGTCCCACCTTGTGCTTGACCCTTTCCTCTTAGATTCACTCACAAACATATGCGTGTATCTGTGTGTCTCTGAGAGAGAGCCTGCTGCGTGTATCTGCGTGTCTCTGAGAGAGAGAGAGAGAGAGTGTGTGTTTTACGTGCGCTTTCCGACTTTATGCATATTTCGCACACTACTCTGTCTGGTCTGGACTTATGTACTGGGGGAGACCTCATCCTCAATATCCAACTACTCTGTAGCTCATTTCAGACTAGTGGTTAAGTAATATACTAGAACTTTGGTGAATACAAATGGTCTGTCTAGTCTTCACTAGTCTCAGACTAACAGAATAGTGGATGTGTCTATCCCTGATATAGGGGCGGTCGGGTAGCCAAGTGGTTAAACCGTTAGTTCGTCCCGCCGAAGATCCAGGTTCGATTCCCGACATGGGCACAATGTGTGATATTGCTGGAATATTGCTAAAAGCGGCGTAAAACCATATTCACTCACTCACTATCCCAGATATACATGAAACCTTGATATAGTGTGCATATTGTGTGTCATCGTACACCAAGGCTGCTCATGATACAATTACAAACCACTGGTCTCTCTGATCAGGACTTGATTATACACATGGCACCTTGATATAGCTGAAATAGTACCATGATTGCTAGTTGTGGTGATACACAACATTCACTGACTCGTTCTTGATGTGTAGGAAGATGAGGATCTGCCGTATGAGGAAGATATTCTGAGGAACCCGTTCTCGGTGAAATGCTGGCTCCGCTACTTAGAGCACAAGAAGGAGGCGGCCCGGGAGGTGGTCAACATGATCTATGAGCGGGCACTCAAGGAGCTGCCGGGGAGGTATGACATTGTAGAGAAGGAATGGCAGAATATTATCCACAGCAGCATTGTCATAGGTGGAAATATTTCAGTATTTCTCTCTGAACATTGTAATTTTTGCTCCATGCTGATTGGTTATAGATGGTTCAAATTGTTTGAAAGATGGTCCTTTTTGCTTCCCTGCCTGGTGTTTGGCATTAAGGGTATAAAGCAAGGACTGGCCAGAGTCGGTATGAGTAGGGTATCTTTGTTAAATGTACATCATGCTATATCCACGGGCTAGCACTGTAAAACAGGCATTTCTCCCGACAAGTACAAGCAGATGCACACATAAGCGTGCACATCGCTATATAAGTGCAATAATATTGAACGTGACATTGAATGCGAATGTTTATCTCGTAATTGTTCATGCAGAGCTACGGATAAGTAGATAGTAAAATAGAAACCCTCGAGTCAAAACTCAATTGCTAAAAAAGTTACCTGGAGCTCTGTTACGTAATGTATCCGTTCATGACATCACGAAATAATTTATGTGACACTAGAATAATGGACTGACCAAGCTGAATTACATACGCAATCACAAACCAAAACAACCTGTATTCATTTATCATTGGTTACAGCTATAAACTGTGGTATAACTACTTAAAACTGCGGCGAACCCAAGTACGAGGCCGGTGTGTCACAGATCCGGCTTATGAGGATGCCAACAGTGCCTTCGAAAGGGCTCTCGTGTTCATGCACAAGGTAAGATATGACATTTATATACTGTAAATCATGAAATTAATGCTTCTCCAAATTAATATGACTGCTGACCCCTAGCCAAAAATGCGACTCAAAATCAATGCAACACGGTTTATTAGCCCTGGGTAGAGCACTTCCATAAAAAAAAACAGTAAACAGTGTTTTCCTAAAAACAACACACAGTTTATATGTTTATTCTATTGACTGGCTTTCAAAGACAATAAAATAATTGAACCAACAAAAGTTCACTGATTGGTATGTGGAGAAGGTGTCAACAAACTTGAAGGTAGATGAGAGGGCACGGGTAGTCCATTCGTCTAAGGCGCCGCGATTCGCTGTGCAGAGTTGTGTCCCTTGGGCATGTCAGAAACCTATGATTGTAGGTTCGAATCCCGGTTCGCCCCAATTATGTTTATAGGTTTGTCAGCACCGTGCTCGTGGGTTTAACCGAAGTGGTAAACGTCTGAGACCTACATCACTTCGGGCTTTCCTAAAGCTGACATAACTGGAATAATGTTAAATGCAGCGTTAAACCCAACTCACTCACTCACTGAACGCAGATGACAAGTCAAAGGCTGTAGATCTGAGGAGTGTAGTGAAGCCCATCTGGCTTTGACAAAGTGTTGCGTGGGTGGCGTTTGTCTTGACTGCTAGAGTGGTCAATGATGTCTCGTTTGACACGAGTGGGTAGAACTCTTGACCCCAGCAGTGCTAACTCGCCGGATGCCTATTGTGCAATTCCTATATTTTGAATGACATTGTAAAATACTTGTTACAACTGCTGCTCAATGAACTGTGTTTGTGTTTATATTCAAATTGGTATTTCTGCTATTCAAAGTGTGCAGTGAGGCCATCTTATTGTTGATAGTCATTTTGGAGACATAAATGTGAAGTTTCATTAATACGAACAAAGACCACTCGCATTTTTTGCATTTATTTCAGGATTTACATATTTCATTCATTCCCAATCATATCAAGAACATATATCTATTGCTGACCTGGACAGATGTATGCTTGAAAAGTCCTTGAATTTAGATTCTGCCTTAAAAAGGACTTGAAAATGGGCAATCTGCCTTGAAAATGTTGAATTTTCTTTTCCAGTCTCCATTTCAGTAAATTGTCAAAATATGAATATATCTTTTCATCATGTTCATAGTTCGATGTAACATGATTTTTATAAAATGATTTCAAAATTAAGACATGCAGGTCTCCGATCTTTTGTCCAGAATAGTGAGGAAAGTGGGCAGGAGTTCAGTGTTTATACATCACTATTTAACATGTCTAATCTGCCACTGGCAAAGACACAAGTCATGTGGAAAGAGGCCTCGAATCTCCCACTTGTTGCTTTTATATAGACATACACCCAGCCTTCTAGAAACTCTCCCACTCCGAAAAGTCCCAAGCAGCATAACCTGCCATGTTCATGTCATCTTCCTGAGGCAAGGGAGTTAACTGACTATACAAATCCAGTTTCCACCCTTACCGAACTAGGCTGGTATTATGGTGTTATATTTTGACTGGACTAACGAGTCTATGCATAGTCCAATCAAAATTGCACAACGAAATCTAAATCCGGTTCGTAAACTGTCGTGCAGATTTCGGTCGATTGTAGGATTTTCAAACTATGTATACCACCATTTCGTTTGTCAACAGATATTTTCCAAATCTTTTCATGTTTTTAATCAAGGTGCTCACGTGATTTGATGCTCTTTGCGATGTAAGACCCGTTTTATCACAATATAGATCTTGATTATCGATGATCATCTTGACTGGGCAAAGCCATTTTGATTGAAGCAAATGCAAGTGATACGAGAGGTGGAATATGATTGGGCCACAGAAGAGGCTTAGAAGGGACATCACTTGTAATAGCAACTGGCAGCGCTATGATCTAGCCCAGGAATTCTAGCCTAGTTCGGCAAGAGTGGAAACTGGACTTTTAGAAATCAGTTAACTCTCTTGCCTGGGGAAGATGGGTTCATGTAAACTAGAGAGGTATCTCTAAAGTCCATTCACTGACGCAACGCTCGTCACTATATGGCTGAGATACTGCCGATGTGACATTAGATATTAAGTCACTCACTCACTAAACAGCAGTCAACGTTTTACATGTACATGATTGAATCTTCTGCAACTGAAAATTATTACAAATAAATTTTAAAAAGCCTCTACCATGCCTACTACCACATTAAGATGCCTTCTGAAAAACTGAAATAGTCTGTAACAATAGAGTTATCTCCCTTCCAATGATCGGCAGTTTCCAGATTGCTATTCCCGAATCTTACAAATGGATTGTAAGGCAGAAATATATTTGGAGTCAAATGCATCATGATGCATAACCTTGAATTTTTTAAGTAACCTTGAAAAGGCGTTGAATTTGAAACTAACCCTTTGTTGAGCATATTGAAGAAACCATGACCGCTGACCAAGATGTGGGTAAACGTACGCTCACCTCCAGTGTTTGGTGTTATTAATGTGGGCTTGCCTTAGTAGCAAGTCTTAACCTAATGCATGTGCAATTCCCTATTTTGACCATATTTTCTCCTGTTGTTTTTTTCAAGTGACTTGCCTTTGCATGTGTTTGTGATTTGTGCCACCGGTGGTGCAGGATACGCTCACCTTTTTGTGAACACCTGGTATCATTACTATTTGATGGTGATTCATAAATACATGATAATTATATAATCGGAATCGTTCAATCGAATCTGCTTTATGCAGAGATTTCTATTGGATATGGAAAGTGTTTTTTCGCTTTATTAACATAGGCTTGGGATTGAACCCATAGTTGTCATCCTAAAACTCAGTTGTTCGCCTTTTCACCTCAGATGCCCCGAATCTGGTTAGACTATTGCCAGTTCCTCATCGACCAGGGGAAGATAACCCGATCCCGCCGTACGCTTGACCGAGCACTCCGCGCCCTGCCCATAACTCAACACAACAGAATATGGCCTCTGTACCTCAAGTTTGTTCGCATGTATGATCTGCCTGAGACAGCCGTCCGTGCCTACAGAAGACATCTCAAGGTAACGTATGAGTTGTACTGTTCATCTCGACTAGACAATTAAAATAATTTTATGGGACCTATCCCACAACATGGTCTTTGTGTCAACATGACTAATACTATGTATCATGCTTTTGTTACTACTAATAACAAGTATAATACACGACTCCATTCAAGTGAATGCTATGGTGCTACTTTATTATTACCCCAATCAGTCGATCAGTGGGTAATCAAATGTCATTCTCAGCTCCCTGGGGAGTATACAACCCATGCAGTCTTGTAAGGCACTAGAAGATTTGCAGCTACATATAATCTGTGTTTCGAAGATGAGTTCCACTTTTGTATGGTGTGTCCGTTCTATCTTGATCTGCGGTCTAATCTCATACCCAATTATTATCACATGTTTCCAAGTCGTGAGAAAATGTCCTTATTATTCAGCTCGACTAATCAAAGTATTTGCAACAATTTAGCAAAATATGTATTTCTTGCTGGTAAGAAACGTAATTCCATTTACAAGGGAATACCTGTGTCATATAATAAACTCCAATAGTAACAGTTTGAATACTGCATTGTAAATCTTATAATTCAGCGCTCTGTCATATTTGTATGCCATCATACTCTGCACGTGTATAATGGGCCGGTGGCCTCATTACCTGAATAAAAGCATCATCATCATCATCATCATCATCACTAATAATAACAATAAGTCCAGGATAATCCATGACTCCTTTCAAGTGAATGCTATGGTGCTACTTTATTATTACCCCAATCAGTGGATCAGTGGGTAATCAAATTTCATTCTCAGCTCCCTGGGGAGAATACAACCCATGCAGTCTTATAAGGAAATAGAGGGTTTGCAGTTACATTACCATCTCATCCCACCAGGTACCCGATGCTGGGTGAACAGAGGCTTATTTTGAACAAAGTCACTTGCCTGAGGAGACACCACATGTAATCTGTGTTTTAGTATTGAGTATTGAAACATGGTCTCCCATCCACCTACTCTACGGGGCGGTCGGGTAGCCTAGTGGTTAAAGCGTTCGCTCGTCACGCCGAAGACCCGGGTTCGATTCCCGACATGGGTACAATATGTGAAGCCCATTTCTGGTGTCCCCCGCCGTGATATTGCTGTAATATTGCAAAAAGCGGCGTAAAAACCATACTCACTCACTCCACCTACTCTACACCTACTTCTTCTTATGTTTGCCTGACTGGTGACCTGATTAATGGCATACTTTGGAACCAGTACTTCAAGTTTAGGTTAGGTTGTTTTGGTGACATGAATTGAAAACACAGTTAATGGATGGCTAGGCCGGAACAAATTGACAGTCCTAGCATGTTAATACAAGCCATTCAAATGAGTAAGTGAGTTGAGTTTAACGCTGCTTTAAACAGTATTTCAGTTATATCACAGCGTGTCAGCTTTATGTGGGAGGAAAGCCCGAAGTGATTCAGGTCTCAGGTGTTTACGTCTTCCGTGAAACCCACAAGCACGGGTATGGTGCTGACAAACATAGAAATATAATTGGGGCGAACGGGGATTCGAACCCACAATCATAGGCTTCTGGCATGCCCAGGAGACGCAACTCTGCACAGCGAATTGCGGCACCTTAGACAAATGGGCCACGCATGCCCCCAAAGTCATTCAAATACCACTAAAACTCACATTTTGTGTTACATATAATCAGGCTATGAAACTCCCAAAAATTTCAGCCAGACCACAGGACTGGCTAGCTGAAATACTTGCCAGCCCTGACCAAAACCTGCCTGCCCACTATAATCATATGTTTCTCAGGATAAGCTAATGGGGTTTCTTTTTGGTTACATTTTATCATTCATCTTTACATGTGAATTAATGCTTATCATCGGGAAATATTTTGAATATTTTCACATATGAAATATAACCCGACCGTTGGGCAGGGGGATTTGAAAATCTGGCAGCCCGAGTTGAAATCAACCCGTCTCGGACGGTCGGGCAGGCAGGTATTTCGAACACTGATATAATTATCAGGCTAGATGATGACCCTATTCACACAGCCACAATGTCTGTCTCCCATAGGGCACTAGTTACAAACTTCAGCCCTTGACTGAACATGGCCTCCTACCATAGAGCACAGAGTAACCAGTAACTTTGAATGAATGTCAAAATATATTTACATAAAACATAAACAGTGATCATCATTTGCATATAATCAATGATACCTATGTTTTAAACACAACCAGCATTTAACCAACTATTTAACTCAACTCCCCCTTTGTAACTATGGTTACCCCTCCTTTGTAACTATGGTTACCCCTCCCTTTTGTAACTAGAGTTACCCCTCCCTATTTGTAACCATGGTTACCCTTTTCCACTGCCAGCTCCAGAAGGAGAACACAGAGCAGTACATTGAGTACTTGAAGACCATTGGCTGGCTGGATGAAGCAGCCATTAGACTGGCTGACGTCATCAATGATGAAACATTTGTCTCAAGGGAGGGCAAATCAAAACATCAGGTAGGCAAGCAAATGAGATGGGATAGTCTATTGGTTAGAGGGCCCAATTATCCCTTACATTTGTCTTGAATGAAGTGTCCCTTACATTTTTGTTCATTAAAGTATAGTTTACATTTGCTGTCAATGAAGTCTCCCTAACATTTTTCTTGAATGAAGTATCCCTTACATTTGCTGTCAATGAAGTATCCCGTACATTTGCCATCAATGAAGTATCCCTTATATTTGTTGTCAATGAAGTATCCCGTACATTTGCCATCAATGAAGTATCCCGTACATTTGCCAACAATGAAGTATCCCGTACATTTGCCAACAATAAAGTATCCCGTACATTTGCCATCAATGAAGTATCCCTTATATTTGTTGTCAATGAAGTATCCCTTACATTTGCTATCAATGAAGTATCCCGTACATTTGCCATCAATGAAGTATCCCGTACATTTGCCAACAATGAAGTATCCCGTACATTTGCCAACAATAAAGTATCCCGTACATTTGCCATCAATGAAGTATCCCTTATATTTGTTGTCAATGAAGTATCCCTTACATTTGCCATCAATGAAGTATCCCGTACATTTGCCATCAATGAAGTATCCCTTATATTTGTTGTCATTGAAATATCCCTTACAATCGCCATCAATAAAGTATCCCTTACATTTGCCTGTAGTTATGGAATGAGCTGTGTGAGCTGATCGCCAAGAACCCTGACAAGGTGTCATCACTGAAGATTGAGCCAATCATCCGCCAGGGCTTGAAGCGCTACACCGACCAGATTGGTGTTCTGTGGAACTCTCTGGCCAACTATTACATCCGTGGCCGACACTTCGAGCGGGTAGGGTTTCACCATTGTGAGATTAAAACAAAACTTCTATTTGGTTCACTAGACAACATCTCACTTCTATTTTTCCAAAATGAAAAAGCAGTGTAGAATGGAGCAATATAATAACCATGCTATATTTTGGATTTTTCACATATCGTTTCATCTACATCAAACATGGTGTAGTATCAAGGGGACAGACATCATTTGTGTGCAGAAAACAGTATGAAATCGAGGTTGATCGAAAACTGAACAATACGTGTCCAGAAGCTTGTATCTGACTGGTCGTTCACTTGTGTTTGATATGCGTGCTATACGGGTATTTAGAAACCTAGTGCAGGTAGATGTGAGTAAATCCGGCACTTCCACCACACCAGTATAGTCGCAGCCAACCACACACATAAACAAGATGTCTGTTGAGGCAAGGCTTTACTTCTCAGAGATGTAAATACAAGTTGGAGGTCATTGCTAAGCAACGCCAGAAAGAGATTACAAGACGTACAACTAGTATGAATAATATGGTATATGATTTGATTTTAAGGAGATTGGTCTGCTTTAAGACAAAACGATGATGTTGAGAGGATTTGATTCAAAATGATATGGTAAAAGATCTGATTTTAAGGAGATAGTTCTACTTTAAGAAAAGAAAGGAACTTTCTGACATCTGAACTGGACCCACTTCCAACTTTAATAAACATAAATAAAGCCTGTCTTGGATTAAATAGCCGAGCATTGGTCATATACCTGTATTTTGTTCCAGGCAAGGGACATCTACGAGGAAGCCATTCAGACAGTCATCACTGTACGTGACTTCACACAGGTGTTTGACGAGTACGCCAAGTTTGAGAAGTCCATGATTGCCGCCAAGATGGAAGCTATGGAGGAGGCTGGTGCTTCTGATGAAGGTCGGAATCACATGATGGTTACATATGTGTTATGCTTGTGTTATGCTTGTGTTCTTGTATGGGTATTCAGTGTTCCCATTTACCAGTATATTACCAGTTTTTTACCAGTATTATTAGCCTTGGACTGGTAATTCATGTGACTGCCAGTCCCTTTGGACTGGAAAATAAAGTACCTTATAAATCTTTGTTGTTGAACAAAACATTGGCAATATTCATATAAGTATATTTTTCAAACGAAGTAAGCTTATCTGTTACCATCAGGGTTTCCCCTTGTCTATTTTTAGTTCAAGGTCATAACATTTCGCTTTGCTTCGAGGATACTTATATACATGTATATGTAGCGACTTAGTCTCGAAATATTCAAAAAAGGAGACAATTGTAATTGAACTTTGTGTGAATGTTTGAATGACATGTAGAATTAAGTTACTTCAGAGATGATATTGCATTGAACATGATGTTGAAAGAATTAAAACTAGGTAATTATCATACTTTTTTTATTTGTTGAAAGTTGGAACTGACATAAATTAGGGGGAACTAGTAATTTTTACTAGTCGCCCTGGACTGTCAGTTTCTAAAGCCAGCAGAAACACTGGTGTTAAGTGTACAGGGGTCTTATTATTGGAAATTGTAATTCAAATTAAAAAATGTCATTGTTTTTTAGATGACCTTGACCTTGAGTTGCGTCTTGCGAGGCTGGAGAGTCTGATGGACCGTCGACCACTTCTTCTCAACAGGTAAGGGTGTACAATTTGAATGTTTATTGACAATGAAAACAGTTTGGAAACGTGATTTTCATTAGTTGTTTACACCAAAGAAATATACGTACATTCAGTTCACAGCACAGGTTCTACACCAGGCATCTCTGATTAATAACGTACAAAAAGATGATTTGATTATGAACTTTTTATTTCTGCACAGTTTTAGTCAAAATAAATTAATAACTTCAGTGACAAAATGCAAGCTTTTTTAACTCAAACATTTAAGCCTGCTTCAAGTCTGTCGATGTTGTGTTTACTTCTATGTTTTGTGTCTGGCAGCGTCCTTCTGCGACAGAACCCTCACAATGTCCATGAGTGGCACAAGCGGGTGACTCTGTTTGAAGGGAAACCAAGAGAGGTAATTTGAAACTGGCTCAAACGCATGATGAGAATTTTCCACAGTATTCTTTAAGCCAATGGCCACTTTTGTGATGTATGCCATTACGGTATACACATAAATCATGAAGATCCTGTAAAACCTTCACCCCTGAATACTGTTCCAAGTGCCATAAGACTGACTGTTCCCTTGCCACAAGGAAGACCACAGTTATTGATACAACATTAACTGCTTCAGTAGAAATGTTACAGTAAATTCCGCAAAAGTATAAATAAAAAGATTATTGCTGTTTTATTAAAAATAAGCCCATTAACATGATTAATTTACATGTTTTTGTGGGTTGTTCAGCAACCCGTGCTTGCCGTAAAAGGCAACTATGCTTGTTGTAAGAGGCGACTAACGGGATTGGATGGTCAGGCTTGCTGACTTAGTTGATGCCTGTCATCATATCCCAATTGCGTGGATCGATGCTCATAATATCAATCACTGGATTGGTCTGGAATATTGCTGAGTGCGGCGTTAAACAACAAACAAACAACAAAAACTTGTTTTTGTAAAATCAGTATTGTTTCTTTTATCTCATGATGAGTTTACCTCCTTCCTCAATAAAATGCCATAGATATGCTCGGCTATTGTGTGAAGTATTGAATAATGAAACCTGATATGACAGATCATCAACACATACACCGAGGCAGTTCAGACAGTCGACCCACAGCTGGCGTCCGGCAAGCCAAACACACTCTGGGTGGAGTTCGCCAAGTTCTACGAGAATGCCAAGCAAATAGAAGATGTAAGTTCAGACAGGCCTGGAGCTGGCCCAAATTTAGTAGCCGGGTACACGGGAATCACGCACGCACGAATACGGTGTAAGCGGTGGGCGTCTCAACGTGCGTGATTCCCGTGCAACCTTTCGAGTTGAGTTGATTGGTTCAACTGTGTCATATGGCCCTGCGTCACAGGGCCATATGACACAGTTGAACCAATCAACTCAACTCAACTCTCAACTCAACTCAACTCTCAACGTGCGTGATTCCTGTGCAACCTTTCGAGTTGAGTTGATTGGTTCAACTGTGTCATATGGCCCTGTGACGCAGGGGTAGCATTATGCAGATGGCTGTTACAATTAATGCTCGTTCCACCTGTGACGAACAGGTCTGGTTGTTGATGAAATATAGTGATAGCTAAATAGACAGATTTTTTATTCATGCACCGATTGTCTTTAAATGTAATATCCAGTGATGTATGACTGTTTAATAATCTCATACCAACTTTGACTGGAGTAGGTCCGATAGTTTTTCAGATATTGTAGTAAACGTTGGTACCTTAAATTACCTTTCAGACTATACCTTAGTATTGACGCAAGCTCCAATGTTTATACAGATCGGCCCCCACTCTATGAAGGTTCCTACACCAATGAACTCACACAAAGTGAAAGTTCTTAAATGTTTCATGTATATTCAGGCTCGGGTGATCTTTGAGAAGGCTGTGAAGGTGCCGTACAAGCATGTGGATGACCTCGCCTCTGTGTACTGCGAGTGGTCGGAGCTGGAGATCAGACATGAGTGAGTTCATTGATCCTTTAAAATATGCAGTAAACCATGTTTATTATGAACACACTTATAATGAGAGATTGAGTATACTTTAAAACCGCTTTTAGCAATATTCCAAAAATATCACCACAGGGGGAAACTGGAAAATGTGCTTCAAACATTGTGCCCATGTGAGGAATCGAACCCGGGTCTTCGGTGTGATGAGCCAACATTTAAACCACTAGGCTACCCCACCACCCCAACACACTTATAAAGATATGCCGGGTAAAACGACCGTATTGTTTGGTCCCGACCATTTGTTATATATATTATGTATATATGCTTATAACGAAATATGGTTATTACAAACTAATATCAGTGGGCGCTTTGTGTTCATTGTAACCATAGTTTCCTGTATCCTCTTTTCGATCAGTTTCAATGACTAATGATTAGTTGCTGTTTATTAATCAAACTGAAGAAATGTTTCAATAATTTCTTTGACATTTGACCCGTGAAGATCTGTGTCATTTACTTAACACCTCAGAACTTCCTGTTTGGAGAATTGTACAGTCTTGCATATTTTACAGTTCAAATGAACAGATTAATCAACCGTCAGCCTAAGTTATCTCCCCTAGGCAACGAGTGGGAAAAAAGGGTCACTTGAGAAAATATTCCATCTTACCCATGTTCTTCTTGCGAATGAGACCGCCTCTGTGGTCTGGTGGTAGAGCGTCCGGAAAACGGAAGGTCGGGGGTTTGATCCATGGCCGTGTTATACCAAAAGACATTAAAAGATGCTACTTGTTGTTACCCTGCCTGGCACTCGGCATTAAGGGGCTAAAACAAGAACAGGTTGGCTAGGAGTCAGTATACTGTGTCTGAGTGAGGTATTTATGTTAAACTGCAGCATGGTTTCTTTGTAGGCTAGCACCGTAAAATCAGTATTAGTGAAGCAGCCGCACGCACGCACGCGCATGTCACTATATAAGTACAATAATCTTGGACACAACCCCATTTCACCTGATCTCTTGTGAAAGAGCAAATGAGGACAAGTAGGGGACAAATTAAGTGAGACAAATTTATGAGTAAGATGTTCTCTTTCAGAAATAATGAAGGAGCTCTGAAACTGATGCAGAAGGCGACAATGCCGCCTCCCAGGAAGGTAGCCTACCATGACGAGGTCAGTCACATGACACACTGAAAAAAAAGGTTAGGAATCATGAATATTTATGGGGATATATTTTGAAATCTTCACTGCAAAGAAATACCCACAAAAATATTCATGGCCCCTAACATTCTTTGTTCAGTATATTTTAACTTTAGTTACTTTGCAAGCATTTTTCCTGCAATATAAAAATACTCAAGTAGATGTTGGTACAAATGTCGGTACAAATGTTGGTACACAGTTTGTACCTCATCCTCCATCATCCAGTGTTTTGTATCTCCATTCTATTCTCATTATGCTCGAGGCCGGGTGGCTGCCATGGCCTTGTCAATGTTTTCACCATATCCATCTCTTTCCTGACCCGTGAAGATTCCAGGGTAGAATAGGTCTTCCGCAACCCATGCTTGCTGTAAAAGGCGACTATGCTTGCTGTAAAAGGCGACTAACGGGATTGGGTGGTCAGACTCGCTGACTTGGTTGATACATGTCATCGATACCAATTGCGCGGATCGATGCTCATGATGTCAATCACTGGATTGTCTGGTCCAGACTCGATTATTTTACAGACCGCCGTCATATAGCTGGAATATTGCTGAGCGCGGCGTTAAACAACAAAAAAACAAAACTAAACTCCATCTCTTTCGTAATTTCCCAAGGAATTATTCTTGCACATAAAATGTGATTTGATTGGATGGATGTTATTAGTATCCTGCCAATCCAAGAAAACAAAGCTCTGTTAGCCTGTGGGTCCAGAGTATTTATCACAATGAAATAGGGACATTATACTCGGGATGATGGAGGATGGTTGTCATGCGTGTGAAATGTTCAGGAACTGATGGAATGGAAACTGTGACTGATGTTTCTCTTCAGACGGAGACAGTGCAGTCGAGAGTCCACAAGTCTCTGAAAGTGTGGTCCCTGTACGCTGACCTGGAGGAAAGCTTCGGGACATTCAAGGTAAGGAGGGGACAAAGAGCAGATGTTTGCAAAGTTTGCACATCAATTCGGACGCCATAAATGCAAAAATGTATTGTCGATTCTTAAATAAATATGTCAATATTAATCATCAACCTCATGGACAACTTATTTTATTGTTATCACATAAAAAACTGTAGAGAACAATACTAAATCAGTGACAACCTTCAAACGAGTTACATCAATTCTATACAGTAGTCGGCGAGGCCGAATCTTTTTAGGTATATGGAAACATAAATGCCAAAAAGATTACATGTTGAGCAATCAAATGCCACAGAATCACTAGCAATTTATTTATGTGATAAACATCCATGCTAAAAATAGGCTTTGATATGTTTCAAGTTGTAAAAAAGAATCTCCACTACATTAAGTTCGAGTTGCCAGTGTTTATATATATATACCCCGGTATTTTCAAACCCCTGTAGAGGTTATCAGTCTTTGTGTATTTATCCATTTCAGTAAATACAGTGCTAACTCTTGTTTATTGTGCCTTGTCAGTGTTGTGTTCGTGAAGAGTTTGTTTGTTTGGTTGGTTGGTTGTTTAACGCCGCACTCAGCAATATTCCAGCTATATGACGGCGTTTTCTAAATAATCGTGTCTGGACCAGGCAATCCAGTGATAAACATCATGAGCATTGATTCTCGCAATTTGGATACGATGACATGCATCAACCAAGTCAGCGAGCCTGACCACCCGATCCTGTAAGTCGTCTCTTCGTGAAGTGCACGTTTAAGGAATCACATACAGAATGTCTATCGGATGCTAATGACAACCACAATATGTGCATACATACAGATAACAAGGCTAAGGGAGGCATTTCATTTTGTTTACCACATAATAGGGGATATTTTCATTGTGTCCCTAGGGCACCCCAGAAACCTATGATTGTGGGTTCAAATCCCGGTTCGCCCCGATTATATTTCTAGATTTATCAGCAACATACCTGTGCTCGTGGGTTTCACCGAAGTGGTAAACGTCTTAGACCTGCATCCTTCGGGCTTTCCTCCCACATTAAGCTGACACGCCGCGATATAACTGGGATACTGTTAAAATCGGCGTTAAATCCAACTCACTCACTCACTCACTCACTCACTCACTCACTCACTCACTAATTATGAACCGTAATTGCTGCATTGTCCACAGCAACCTATGCTGGTATGATGCGACTATACTTGATCAGGAAGCCATTTTCAGTGACTTGGTTGATTCAGTTTTATCATACCCTACCATTGAGGTGATGTGTAGATGATACTCATAATATCAACCACTGGTTTTGTTTCTGGACAATATTCAGTTATTTGCTTGGATATTGCTGGAACACTGAAGCAGTAAGTTGTAAACAAACAAACAAACAAAAACTACTTTGAACACTGCTACGTTACAGCCATACTTGACGTATCTCTTTCCAGTCGTGTAAAGCTGTGTATGATCGCATCATTGACCTCCGGATTGCGACCCCGCAGATCATCATGAACTATGGAATGTTCCTCGAGGAGAATAACTACTTTGAGGAGGCTTTCAAGGTAAGACGTGGAGCAGGACATGGACGGTTTGTCAACCTGTGCCTGTATTATTTATTGGATACACATCCATGCATAAGATTGCCTTTGATGTATGTTAATTTCTAGAAAAGAACCTCGGCGACACAACTGATCTTGAGTTGTCATCGTACAAATAATCCTAACCCTTCTTCAAAACTCCACAGCTCAAGACAGTTCATGTACATGACATATGAGTAATAGTTGAACAATTTCATTATTACTTGAAAAAAATCAAAGTGAATTGCTTCAACATAAGTCTGTGCCAAAAACTACTTGCTCAAATTTGGCTCACAGGATCGTTTCATATACATATTTGTGTTATCAGATGGTATATTATTAGCTGATCTGATGGGACCAAGCAAAATTTTAGAGTCGGGCTTCGGACTAGTGGCTAAAGTCACAGACTACTACATTGCTGCTGTTGTCTATGGCAACTTACGCTGGCTCAGTCATGTGATACTGCAGTTGTATATGCAGTTGTTACCGAGATATGTTATACACTTGATGTTGACTTCTTATTCATTCATTACACAGGCCTACGAGAAGGGAATTGCATTATTCAAATGGCCGAACGTGTATGACATCTGGAATACCTACCTCACCAAGTTCATCGACAGATACGTGAGTAATGTGCATGTGAATTTCATCACAGTCATGTGTTGACTTGAGACTGTTATGGCTCATTTTACCATTTCGAGGTTGTCATCAAGCATTACTGAAAGTCTTCCAGGTTTAAATTGTCATGTGATGTGAAGACATCAAAATGGAATTCTTTTCTTGCTCGCATGACATGCAACAAGGAAAAATAATGATTCTGAGAGGTATTTCTGCAGGAAACAATGACTGATGACAAGAGTTATTTGAACACAGAAAATAGTATTTAATGCTGAATTTTTATTTGATTACAGGAAGTTTTCAGCCACATATGAATCATGTTTATCAAAGGAGATACTATATTGTGCATCCTTGACTATTGTCGACAGGTTAGTCCTTTATTAATATCCTACATCGGATGCTCTGAATATCAGTTACTATGGTTACTGGTGTATACTTCAGGGCGGCAAGAAACTAGAGAGAGCAAGGGACCTGTTCGAGCAATGTCTAGAAAAATGTCCTGAGAAGTTTGCCAAAGGTGAGAAGAAACATGATTTTGAAAATAATTACATTAAGTAATACGTTACCACTGTTATACCGAGGCTGTTGTCTCCCACAACTGCTGCTATAGTGAAATCTACCACAGAGATCTCAATTACCTCATGCAGCACGTGCGTAGCCACCTAGCTGCCATGTGACACCCTTCACTCTTGTCTCCTTCGTCTGCTTAGCAAGACGTGTTTTCTCCTGCTGAAGCGTTCCTGGAAGATTTGGTGATATTTATTATAGTTTATTCTCTAATAAACTGTGCTTGGGGCGTTGCGGTAGCTACGCTTGGTTATAATTTTCCCGCCCTTTTTTCTCTATACTTGCGGGGTTCGCGTATGCACGTTGTGTTTTACGTTTCCCCTGTTCTTGTATGTTTTGGGGGTTAACATAACTTATTTCTTTAATAAAAGTTATATGTGTATGTTATATGTTCACATTGCTCGTTTATTTTCTTGTGAAAATGCTCGTTTGTGAATCGTTGTGGTGCGGGCGTTGTAACCATGTTTTGTTCTTTGTTTATAGCAAACAATGTCTGACATGGATATGTCCCCAGTATCCACCCCCTCTACCCCTGCTCCTCGGAGTTGTGGGGTGTGCAGAAAGTTTTTGTCATCCCGGGATCCCCACGATCGTTGCCCGCGGTGCAGGGTTCCTTACGGGGACACCCGGTGTACCCTGTGCGAAGGTCTGGGGCCTGCGGAGTTTGAGCGGTACCGGCTGTACGTACAGTCCGTCTCCACCCCTGTGGTGGCCGGTTCGTCCGGTCGGGGTCCCCGTGCGGGTACCACCTCCTCGGCTGCGGCGGATCCCCTTGCGGCCCTCGGGCTGTCTGGGGCTTCCGTCGCCGCATTATTGTCGAAACTTGTGGACTCCAAGCTGGCGGCCTTATCGCAAGATAGGCCGCTGGCTGTTCCGTCCCCGGCCTCTTCGGTGGCCGCGGGTTCGGACGCGGGGTCCACCGGTACGGCGGCGGCTGCCGTGGTTACCGGTCCTTCCCCCGAACCGTTGCTTCCGCTATCGGTTAAGGACCGCGTTGCCATGGTGTATGACCTCTTCGAGGACATGCCAAAGCCCCTGCCGATACCGCGGGGAATCCACGGTTCCGTGGGTTCCTCCGAGGTATACGACGAGACGTCCGACAAGGCTTTCCCGGCATCAACCTTGCTGCGCGGGATTAAGCCTTCTTTGGAGAAGGCCTTCACGGCTGCCTCCGGTCGGGGTCTCCCGTTACCTCCCCCGTCGTGGAGAAAAGGGTCTTTCCCAGTACATGACCTTGCCTTTCCCGAGGCTGGTCCTTCTGCGGAAGCCCATGTGGAGCGTTTGGGGGTCCGTGCCCCACCGGTTGCCACGGTACCACAAGGTACCTTGCAACAGCTGGACACCCTCGCTCGACACTCCATGCTGGCAATGTCTCACGGAGACACATACCTGGCTGCAGCGGCCAGTCTGGTCGAAGGTTCTCCCACGGACCGAGACCAGCGCATTTACAACTGCTTGCTCGGTTTGAATGCTTCCCTGGAGTACGTTGCCGGGGCTTCGGCCTTTGTTTCCGGCACGTGCCATTTTCTTCGGCGCCAGTCGTATCTGGTTGCTTCAGGGTTGGACGCTGCTAATCAGGAGGTGCTCCTTTCGCAGCCTTGGTCTGCTCGGACCCTGTTACTAACAAGATCCCTGGGGTTCTGAAGGAACAACAGGCCGCTGTGTCTGCCGAGGCCTCTCGGCACACACTGGATCTTGTGGGGTCCTTGCATAGGCGCCTGGGTGCCGCTCCGAAGCGGAGCGCGCCCCAGGATGCTGCGTCCGGCAGGCCTAAGGGGTCGGGTCCTTCTTCCTCCGGGAAGAAGCCCCGCTCTGAGGGCTCCGGTAAGGGTTCTCAGCAGCCCTTTCGCGGGAAGAAGGGGAACTGGGGGAAGCCCAAGTCGTCTAAGGACGGCAAGGGCCCCTCCAGGTGACTCTCATTGGAGGGGTTCGTATGCCGACAGCGCCAACTTCGGTTGGCCCGTAGGCGAACCCGAGTCACTTGGCCCTGGACAGTTGCGCCTGCCGCAGCCCGTCCGGCCCCCCTCTCTTTCCCCAGTGGGAGCCAGACTCCAGACTTACTGGGAGAATTGGGAACAAGTGTTCGACGACCCGTGGGTGGTCAACACGATTTGGTACGGCTATCGGCTCGATCTCATAGCGAATCCGCCGCTCACCGTTGCCCCGTCGGCAGGTTTCTATTCGGAAACCGATCTTCCCTTCCTCGCCGATGCCATCGGCAGGTTGGTGGAGAAGAGGGCAGTTCGGGAGTTAGCTCTACCAGAAATAACACCGGGGTTTTACTCCAGGATATTTCTCGTTCCCAAGAAGGACAGTGCCGAACTCAGAATGATTCACAACTTGAAATCGTTCAACGAGTTCTACCTGCGCAAACCGCCCAAGATCAGAATGTTGAGCTTGACGGACCTGAAAGCACTGATCATGCCGGCCGACTGGCTAGCTTCGATCGACCTGAAGGATGCTTATCTGCATGTTCCGATTCACTCGGATCATCAGAAGTATCTCAGGTTTGTCTTTCAAGGCAGGCACTACGAGTGGGTTGTACTCCCATTCGGTCTTTCATCCGCTCCCTGGCTGTTCACCCGGTTAACCACCCCCATAGTGGGGTTCCTCCACCGGAGGGGTGTCCGGTACTTCGCGTACCTGGACGACTCGCTAGTAGCAAATCGAATGTCGGACACCCTGTCACGCCATCTCGTTTTCGCACGTCGGCTCTTGGAGCAATTGGGGTGGATTGTCAATCTCCCCAAGAGCGAGTTAACCCATTCTCAGAACTTGCAGTTCATCGGAGGTCGGTTCAACACGGTGTCCCATCGCCTATTTGTCCCCCCAGACCGGTGGCACAAAATTCAGGCGATGATTGCCAAAGTCTTAGCGGTGCAACAGACTGTTCACTTTTGGGAACAGCTGTTAGGGCTACTTGTATCAGCCCAGGACTGCACCGAACGGGGTCGTCTCCAACTCCGCCCGCTGCAACGGTTTTTAATCCAGTTGTTAGCAACGGAGGTGAACAGTGCGACCGTCGCCCTCCCGGATCGGCTCCGACCGCATCTGGAGTGGTGGACGCTCCCTTACAATGTCTTATCAGGAGTCTCTATGCGGCCCTACCGGGCCACGTTGAACCTGTATACAGACGCCTCTCTAGTGGGCTGGGGCGCCCATCTAGAGGGGGAGGTGAGCTCGGGGCTGTGGTGCGTAGACGAACTAGGTCTTCACATCAATTGTCTCGAGTTCAAGGCAGTGATCAACGCAGTCAATCACTGGAAGCATCGTCTCGTCGACGCCCGGCTCATGCTGGCGACCGACAACACGACGGTAGTGTCCTATGTGAACAAACTGGGGGGAACCCACAGTCACTCGCTACTCGATCTCACGTTCGAGTTTTACGCTCTGGTGGACAGTGTCCCGTGCCAGATACGCGCCCGTCACATCCCAGGTGTGCGGAACGTACTGGCCGATGCTCTATCGAGGCCTCAGGATCCGAGCCCCACAGAGTGGATGCTGAACCCAGTGGTGTTTCAGTGGCTGTGCGAACGTTTGGGTCGTCCGATGGTCGACCTGTTCGCAACACGGTTCAACAATCAACTCCCGTTGTTTGTATCACCAGTCCCGGACCCGAGGGCCATCGATCACGATGCTCTCGCGTTAGACTGGACGGGCTTGGACGCTTATGCTTACCCGCCGACAGCGTTGATACCACACATTCTAAGCCGGCTTCGAGGAGTTCGCTGTCGAATGTTACTGATCGCGCCCATGTGGCCGAACAGATCGTGGTACCCCGACTTGCTGACCCAGGTCACGCAGTCGCCACTCCCACTGCCTGTGAGACCGGATCTCTTGATCCACCCTCACACCCGTCAGCTTCATCCAAACGCAGGGCAGTTCAATCTGCACGCGTGGATGTTGTCACCGAGCGTCTGAGGAGTAAAGGTTTTTCTCGCCGGGCGTCTCGGGCATACGTTAGTATGCATCGTGATTCTACCCAGAAGGTGTATAATGCACGTTGGGTTATTTTCACGAAGTGGTGTTGTAAACATCACATTCATTCGCCAGATAAGGTATCTGTGCAGGATATTGCTCGTTTCATGTCTCACTTGCGAGAGACCCGGAAACTCTCCGGGGGTTCCATTGCCAACTATGTCTCGTCCGTTGCTACGGTACGGGACGTTGCTATGGGTACCAGTCTCTCCAAAGAGCCGGTGATACAGGGTATTATCAAGGGTTTCAAACAGCACGATCTTAAGAAGGGCCGCCTTCGGGCACCGGCCTGGGATCTTTCCCTAGTGTTGCAATCACTCACGGAAGCTCCGTATGAACCCTTGCATAGTGCTTCGTTCCGGCATGTGACTTGGAAAACAGCATTTCTCCTCTCCTTTGCCACGGCGGCACGTGTATCCGAAATTCATGCACTCGATGTCGCCAAGGTACGATTCGATAGGGGTGACGAAGGAGTGGTCCGCCTGGGCCTGCTCATGGGCTTCGTCGCCAAGAATCAGAGAGTCGGGCAAACGGAGAGAGAATTCACTGTAAGATCCCTCAAAGAAATCTTACATCCTGCTGATACTGAGGACAGAGCGCTGTGTCCGGTTAGGGCCCTTAAGTATTATCTTAAGGCTTCGAATGAACGTAGACAAGGGCGTGACCGTCTGTTCATATCGTGTAACCCTAATCGCACGGTTGACATAACTTGCAACTCGATTGCGTTGTGGCTTCGTTCTGTCATCAATCTGGCGTACCGGTCTCGGGGGTTACCGGTAGCGGGGTCAAACCCGCACGAGATCAGGGCGCTAGCGGCAACATTTGCCCTACACTCGAATATCTCTGTTCACAGAATATTACGAGGTTGTTACTGGCGTTCTGACTCGGTTTTTGCCAATCATTACCTCAGAAAGGTTTCTGATGAAGACGTGGAGGGGGTGCACCGTCTTGGGCCGCTGATCGCGGCACAAGCGGTCATCTAGGGGGTGTGTCCAGCGCAATTCCAAACTCCGCAGTCGTCAGTCCTTGCACGGTGGTCAATCTGGGTCGTCTCCAATGTTCCCACGCCGTGGGTACAGGAGTGGGGGTCCTGCAAACCAGCGCACTCACACCACAGGTGAGGCGGCTTTTTGTGTGTTTTGTCCTTATTTGTATTTTGACAATTATGCATTTAATTGTCTGTCGTGTATTCCAACCTTGCGATACATGCTTACGAATACTGGAATTAGGTCACGCGCCTAATGCATACTTTAAGTAGGCTTGCTCTGGGATATACGGTCTGAAGGAAATTAATTTCCCTCTTTTCGACTGTTTAACCTGATCTAAGATTTAGCTCACGCGGATACAGTGTTCTCATCCGCTGCGGCGATGAAATACCTATCCAGTGGGGCCGTTTGGAGTCACCAATCGTTTTGGCATTGACGATTGAGCCTTACGGTATGCGCTTGACAGTGCTTTGGTATTCCTATAGGGTAACGCCTAGCTAGGTGCATGCGCATCGAGTGCTTCCGCCTTGGTGTTTACTTCCGCTGGTCGGAAGGAACGCTAGCAGTCAGGATTCGGGTTGTAGGTGCTCCCCACCGCCTACTGTGGTAGTCAGCCTCGGTATAACAGTGGTAACGTATTACTTAATGTAATTTGTAGAATTTTCCTATTCGGAATATTCTATAAGTAATACGTTACCACTGGGCTGCTGCCCGCCCGTCCGTCCCCCGAGCACTTGCTCTCGCAGGAGACAAGAGTGAAGGGTGTCACATGGCAGCTAGGTGGCTACGCACGTGCTGCATGAGGTAATTGAGATCTCTGTGGTAGATTTCGCTATAGCAGCAGTTGTGGGAGACAACAGCCTCGGTATAACAGTGGTAACGTATTACTTATAGAATATTCCGAATAGGAAAATTCTACAAAATTTATACCCTATGTCCCAGCTCTGTGAAGGATGTTAGCATCATTGTCCTATGTCCCAGATCTGTAAATGATGTTAACAGTGTTGCCCTTTGTCCAAGCTCTGTGACTGATATTAACATCATTGCCCTGTATCCCAGCTCTGTGATTGATGTTAACATTGTTACCCTTTGTCCTTGCCCTGTGACTGATGTTAACATTGTTACTCATGTCCCAGCACTGTGATTGATGTTAACATTGTTACCCTATGTCCCAGCACTGTGATTGATGTTAACATTGTTACCCTATGTCCTAGCACTGTGAATGATGTTAACATTGTTACCCTATGTCCCAGCACTGTGACTGATGTTAACATTGTTACCCTATGTCCTAGCACTGTGAATGATGTTAACATTGTTACCCTATGTCCCAGCACTGTGACTGATGTTAACATTGTTACCCTATGTCCTAGCACTGTGACTGATGTTACCCTATGTCCTAGCACTGTGACTGGTGTTCACATTGTTACCCCATGTCCTAGCGCTGTGACTGATGTTAACATTGTTACCCTATGTCCTAGCACTGTGACTGGTGTTCACATTGTTACCTATGTCCTAGCACTGTGACTGATGTTAACATTGTTACCCTATGTCCCAGCACTGTGACTGATGTTAACATTGTTACCCTATGTCCTAGCACTGTGACTGATGTTACAGTATGTCCTAGCACTGTGACTGATGTTAACATTGTTACCTATGTCCTAGCACTGTGACTGATGTGAACATTGTTACCCTATGTCCTAGCACTGTGACTGATGTTACCCTATGTCCTAGCACTGTGACTGGTGTTCACATTGTTACCCTATGTTCTAGCACTGTGACTGATGTTAACATTGTTACCCTATGTCCCAGCACTGTGACTGATGTTAACATTGTTACCCTATGTCCTAGCACTGTGACTGATGTTACAATATGTCCTAGCACTGTGACTGATGTTAACATTGTTACCTATGTCCTAGCACTGTGACTGATGTTAACATTGTTACCCTATGTCCTAGCACTGTGACTGATGTTAACATTGTTACCCTATGTCCCAGCTCTGTGACTGATGTTAACATTGTTACCCTATCTCCTAGCACTGTGACTGATGTTAACATTGTTACCTATGTCCCAGCACTGTGACTGATGTTAACATTTTTACCCTATGTCCTAGCACTGTGACTGATGTTAACATTGTTACCTATGTCCTAGCACTGTGACTGATGTTAACATTGTTACCCTATGTCCCAGCTCTGTGACTGATGTTAACATTGTTACCCTATGTCCTAGCACTGTGACTGATGTTAACATTGTTACCCTATGTCCTAGCTCTGTGATAGATGTTAACATTGTTACCCTATGTCCCAGCACTGTGACTGATGTTAACATTGTTACCCTATGTCCTAGCACTGTGACTGATGTTAACATTGTTACCCTATGTCCTAGCACTGTGACTGATGTTAACATTGTTACCCTATGTCCTATCACTGTGACTGATGTTAACATTGTTACCCTATGTCCTAGCTCTGTGACTGATGTTAACATTGTTACCCTATGTCCTAGCACTGTGATTGATGTTAACATTGTTACCCTATGTCCCAGCTCTGTGACTGATGTTAACATTGTTACCCTATGTCCCAGCACTGTGATTGATGTTAACATTGTTACCCTATGTCCCAGCACTGTATCTGCTGTATGCACGACTGGAGGAGGAGCATGGACTGGCACGTCACGCAATGGCGGTGTACGAGAGAGCCACTAATGCTGTACTGCCGGAGGAACAATATGAAGTATGTACACGTGTGTGGTGTTGGTTGACATGTACAAAACAAGTGGGTTTAGTGTTCAGGTTGCTGTTCATTCCACAGTGTGGTAGAATTTTGAATTACATTTATTGCATAATTAATTAAAGTTATATGTTAAAGTTTTAAGGTTACAACAATTTAAGGTTTATGCTTTTTAGTCTGTATCCTCTGAAATCGGTTTTGCCGCAGCATTTACTACTTTTGTTCACACTTGTTTACATGGATTTTACTGATGTCATCTTGATTACATGCTGTTCCCGAGTCTTCTGACAATTCAGTATGGACCTTCTGTACCAGTAAGCCAGCTAGACTGTGATGAGGTCTCCTGTTTGTATTACAGATGTACAATGTGTACATAAAGCAGGCTGCGGAGATCTATGGCGTGACACACACACGGTCCATCTATGAGAAGGCCATCGAGGTGCTGCCCAATCAAGAAGCTAGGTTAGTGCTACTATTCATGCCCCAGTCATACATGATCAGCTTGACATGACCCAGTAGGCAAAAAAGAATTATGGACAGCTTCTTTTGTATACTGTAATAGTGACATGTAACAAATGTTATTTTGGGGGTCACGCTGAAGACCCGGGTTCAATTCCCGACATGGGTACAATGTGTGAAGCCCATTTCTGGTGTCCCCTACGGTGATATTGCTGGAATATTGTTAAAAACGGCATAAAACCATACTCACTCACACTGATCTAAGACCTGCATCACAGTGTTTTCCTCCCTCATTGAGCTGACAACAAATACTGTTCAAAGTGGCATTACACTGTCTCACTTCCCAGCTGTAGTTGCGACGTGTTCAGGCCAGGAACAAGTTAGTAAGAACAATGATTTGTGAACCCATCATTTCATTATTTTTATCCCCCGCCGCGCGAAAGCGCGAAGCGGGGGATATAGTATTCACGACCGTCCGTACGTCCCACCTGTTTGTTGCCGCGATATCTCAAGAACTAAACACTGGATTGTCTTCATATTTGGAACTATGGTGTATATACAGACTCTGCAGACACCAGTCGGTTTTGGTGACCTTGATCCCATTTTCAAGGTCACAGCAGGCAAATCTGCTTTTGGAGTTGGAAAACGGTGTTGCCGCGATATCTCAAGAACTAAACACTGGATTGTCTTCATATTTGGAACTATGGTGTATATACAGACACCGCAGACACCAGTCGGTTTTGGTGACCTTGACCCCATTTTCAAGGTCACAGCAGGTAAATCTGCTTTTGGAGTTGGAAAACGGTGTTGCCACAATATCTCAAGAACTAATCGCTGGATTGTCTTCATATTTGGTAGTATGGTGTACAGGCGGGGGATATTTCGTCACTCTGTGACAAATACTTGTTGATGTTATTTCCAGGGAGATGAGTCTGAGGTTTGCAGACTTGGAGAGGAAGTTGGGAGAGATCGACCGAGCGCGAGCTATCTATGCCCACTGCTCCCAGATCTGTGATCCCAGGGTAGGTACTTGATACAGAGTATATGACCAACACTGACAATAATCTGACTATCACTGGATAGATGCCTTACATCAGCAGGACATCCTGGCTTGAATTAGCAAGCAGTAGTTGCTTATTTTCTCAAGATCCTTGCATTAAAATTTCTATTTGAGACATGATTCTATTGATATAAGGTGTTATCATGGAGTCAGGATTGTAGTAGCCTCACTGTTGTCTGTTGTTAGGTAGCACCATCATTTTGGGCGACCTGGAAGGAGTTTGAGATCAAACATGGCAATGAGGACACTGTGAGAGAAATGCTGAGGATCAAACGCAGTGTTCAGGCCATATACAACACACAGGTGAGATATAGGCTGTATACAACACACAGGTGAGATATAGACTGTATACAACACACAGGTGAGATATAGGCCGTATACAACACACAGGTGAGATATAGGCCGTATACAACACACAGGTGAGATATAGGCCGTATACAACACACAGGTGAGATATAGGCCGTATACAACATACAAGTGAGATATAGACTCTATACAACGCACAGGTGAGATATAGGCCATATACAACACACAGGTGAGATACAGGCTGAATACAACACACAGGTGAGATATAAGCCATATACAACACAAGTGAGATATTGGCCGTATACAACTCACTGGTGGGATATCGGCCATATACAACACACAGGTGAGATATAGGCTGTATACAACACACAGGTGAGATATAGACTGTATACAACACACAGGTGAGATATAGGCCGTATACAACACACAGGTGAGATACAGGCTGAATACAACACACAGGTGAGATATAAGCCATATACAACACAAGTGAGATATTGGCCGTACACAACCTACTGGTGAGATATCGGCCATATAAAACACAGAAGAGTTGATACCATGTGTTGCTTGCAGATTGTAACAATGTTGTGTTTGTCCCAGGTGAACTTCATGTCATCCCAGATGCTGGCTGCAGCAGGTAAGGGTGATGCACCGGCTGCAGCAGGCGGAGTTGTCGTAGAGCCCAACGAGATGCAGAAGCTGGAGGAGAAGGCACGGCAGCTAGCGGAGGAGGCAGTGCGAGACCAGCCTCAGCAGCCGGACAAGAAACTACTGTTTGTCAGGTACACTGTGCTCCATCCATGTGTGTTGGATGTGTTGCTATTCATGTGAAGATCTGGGTTGGACTGGACCTTCAGCAACTGATGCTTGTCGTTAGATTCGCCTCATGGGAACGAGTGGTCAGTGGTCAGATGGTTGATGCATGTCATCGTATCCCAACTGCGTAGTTCGATGCTCATGATATCAATCATTGGATTGTCTGGTCCAGACTTGATTATTTACAGACAGTGGTTATAATAGCTGGGATATTGTTTTGTGCAGTGTTAAACAACAAACAAAGAAACTATTCCCCTTAAGGCAAGGCACAGATATGTGTTGTGAGAAGTGTTTTGTTTTCAGGAACGTTATTATTAATTTAATACCTCTGAATGTTTAAGGTGTTGGCATGAAGTTTATCATGCATTATTTTAGAGTTATCAAATTAATAAGAACTTTATTCAAATTATTTGATGTAATGGGCATTTTGAAATAAGAAACATTCTATCACTGACACTAACTGATTTAGACACTAATTTAGGCATTCAAAAATTCAGAATTGTAAGTGTTTCATATTGTGGAGGAATCATTTCATTGAACCACATTTGCTTGTATGATAACTTGAAGCCACCTTACAAGTGTGTTTGTGAAGAAACTGCTGATATTTGGAAGTTATATTTTTTATTGTGTCTGTTCAGGAGCTCGACCACGGCAGATGATATTGGCGAGATGGTGAAGACCGTCAACCCTGAGGAGATCAACATTGACTCTGACTTCTCCAGCGATGATGATGAGGAAGTAGAGGGTAAGTCATCCATCATCTTTCTGGACATATCACTGCCCCGTGGTCTAGTGGATACATCTGCCAGGAGAGTGAAAGGTCGGTGGTTCGATTCCCGGCCGTGTCATACCAAAAGATGTGAAAAGATGGTACCTGTTTCCCTGCCAGGCTCTAGGCATTAGGGGCATAAAACAAGGATTAGTCGGACAGGGAAACTGAGGTTAAAACTGCAGCATGGTATCAGTTTGGACCGGTACAAGTAGCCACACACACACACACAGACATAATGCTGTATTAATGCAAAAATCTTGAATGCGACGTTATACACTCTTGTCAAGAGGCGACTAAGGGGATAGGGGGATCACGCTCACTGAACACTGAAACAAAGGAATGATGCAGCTTCAGCAACAGATGACAGTCATAAGGTCTTGTTGCTTCAACATTATTAGACTGCCTGTGTGGTCTAGTGGTAGAGTATCCGCCCAGAGATTGGAAAGTCCGGGGTTTGCTCCCCGGCCACGTCATAACTAAAGATGTTAAAGGATGGTACTTGTTGTTACTAGGGCTGTGACGGGTAACTCAGGTACTCGGGTCGGGTGGGTCCTGAGTAGGACCCAGGTACCCACAGGACTTCCTGGACCCGTGGTTAGTCACATGATATATTGTTTGATGACAAAAACTCACTATAGCTCAGTGGTTACACCACAAGTCGCTAATGTTAGCATTTTTTTCTGACGATGCACACATTCCTTTTGATGTGTACATGTCTGAGTGAAGATAAAGCTTCAGTCAACTTCAGTGTACTGATCATTTGATACATGTATCTAATAGTTTAGGCCTTGAGACCTGCAGTGGGTACCCGGGTAATAGGGGATCGGGTACCTGAGTAGTAAATTTGGACTCTTCCCAGCCCTAGTTGTTACCCTGTCTGATGCTTGGCATTAAGGGGCGAAAACAAGGACTAGTCGGCTCAGAGTCAGTATAGTGTGTTTGATTGGGGTATTCATGTTAAACTGTGGCATGAACCTCAGTTGGCTAGCACTATTAAATCGACATTAGTCGACATGCACCTCAATATTCTTATGAATATTTTCTCACTGAATATTTTACTATATTGGCATCAAACATGCCATCTCATTTAGAGAATCTCACCCTCATCTTTTGATATGAATTATATCAACATTATCAAGGAGTTTTTAACTTTTATTTCATTATTCTAACAAGTTATGATATATTTGATATCAAAAGACACAAGCTTGAAATTTCTATTTACCATCCAAAATATTCTCTAACTTTTTCAGTTTGTAAACAGTCAGAACCAGTGCCCTGAGTGTAAAAAGTAGAGCTGACCAGCTTCAGTGAAATAAGTGATGTTGTTTGATTGTGATTTCATGGTAGCTATGACATCACAGTTGTCCACAAAGCATTGTGATGCAATTTCATTGTGGCAATATCTCTGGCAATATCTCCTTGCATATCCTCCTATGGAAGCTGGATGATAAATGCATGATTTCACACTATAGTTAATCAAGTACAATTCTCATGTTGAGTTGGCTGACCGACTCATCTTTTGTTTTTGCAGAGGTTGAAGTACAGACTCAGATCATCCCCAACAAGGTGTTTGGGGGACTTGTCAACGAGGAGGAGGAGGACTAAGCGTCACCTGGATATTTGTGCCTCATAAACATTTGTGGCAGTTATGACACTTCTCAGAGCTTCAGGTTTTCATAATGGTCAAGGGTCCATGGGTGGCCCTGTCTTCCAAGGTGCTGCAATTCGCTGTGTAGTGTTGGATCCCTTAGGGTGCCAGAAGCTATAATCGTGGGTTTGGATCCGGTTCACTCTGATTATTTTCCAAGGTCTGTCAGCACCACACCTGTGCTAGTTGGTTTCACATAAATGTTACATGTCTAAGTCCGGGATCACTTTGGGTCCCCCCAAATTTAAGCTGACATGCCATGATATAACTGAAATACTGTTCCAAGAGGCATAAAACCCTACTCACTTTCTCACTCACAATGCTCTTGGTGCAACAGACAAGATCCAGCATCTTGGGAGAGATTCATCCTATGTTGTAACACACTTGGCAGTATGCAGTGCTGATGGACAAGAAAATTGAAACACATTGATATTGTGTAATTTGGAATATGGCTTTCAAATCTGATAGCATCCTAAACTACATGTGTATTTCATGTTGTAGCTGTTAATGACCATACACAACACTGTTTGGTGGTGAATACAAGGTGTATATTCCTGTGTATGTATCGACCACCACCAGATGATCCTCTGATATGCTGATGACAAACACACGGACTGCAGCGCTTCTGTATTGTAAGATACGATTGTGGAATAAATACTGATACAGTGGCCACATGTTTGTTTTCTCTCTGGCACTCCACTGGATTAAAGAAGCCAGGTCAATATTCACTATACAAAATATCCAAAAAATATTTGTTCCCTTACATTATTTGTTCAGTATATAAACAGTTGCCCTTCCTGTGAGGATAATTTAGCTACTATGATTGCAGCGTTTTGGGTCACAATGAATTGATTATTAGATTTGTCTTCCATTTCGTTTTTATGATGAGGGAGGGGGCGTGTTATTGTTTGTGTAAATAAAATCTTTTGGGACAATCTCTCTGTTCAAGGCATCAGCGTATATTTACATCTATTGGAATAATGCTCATAATATCAATCACTATATTGTGTGAATCAGATTCGAGATTATTTACAGGGCAGCAAACAGCTGGACTGTTGCTGAGAGTAATGTCAAACAAAACACACCCAAATCCTTACATCCAAGCAGTGATAAATACGACTCTCTCATGTGTTCCTGTGTTTTTGTTGTTTAAGGCTGCACTTTGCAATGTTCCAACTACCAGTATATGACAGCTGTCTGGAAATAATCGAATCTGGACCAGACAATCCAGTGATTGACATGAGCATCGATCCACGCAATTGGGATATCATGACATGCATCAACCAAGTCAGCGAGTCTGACCACCCGATCCTGTTAGTTGCCTCTTACGACAAGCATAGTCGCCTTTTACTAGTCGCCTTTTACGGCAAGCATGGGTTGCTGAAGACCTATTCTACCCCGGATCTTCACGGGTCCTCTCTCATGTACTGACCTGCTCATGAAGAAAGGTTATAGGAGGAACTGAACATAGACTTCACTCTAAGAACACAGATAAGGGTCTATTAAGAGTCCGAGTCACTGAGCAGGCCCTACTAGCTCACCTGGAATACTTTACAGGGAGACAAGAGTTCGGAACTTTATAGATAACAACTTCTGGTTTATCGCATATAGCAACGTTTCAAAGTAGATTCATACACTGTCATCAAGCTCGAGTAACTACAACCAAGTGGAAAGAGGTGTGCATCATATGTTGTGGTAAGCAGCTGATTTACACTGACAACAACAGGTAATAGTTAAGTAGCACACAGATAATTGTCTGCAGCTAGGTGTACAGTATGAATAACAAAAAGGGCACAGGCAATGAAGCCAGATATACAGTAAAGATTAAAGAGTTGTGACAAGCTGATTGGATACTAATTACAAAGGCCTATTGCTTGGTTAGCTCTTCAAAGGCAGACGAGTTGTAATACCCTTGACCTCGGATCGTTTGTGAGGGCGGATTTCTGTCTTCTGAGAGTTTTCTTTTAGTAAACTGATGTCCCAACCAAACATCAGGACTTACAGAGCACCTGAAATCCTATTTTAAACCATTGGGCATCTGAATGAAAACAGACAAGTGTTGAATCCTTGGCAAGAAAACTTCAAATTTATTATGAACACACAATGTCATTTAGAAAGTGGTCAAATGTACCAAATGTTATATTTGGGATAACACTTTCTTAGTAAAGTTCAGATTCTTGTACTTTTTTGGGTTGAGTCCCATCCAGGATTCGAAAACACACTGCCAGAGTCAGGCACCTAATCGCCCGCACACAAAGTCAGGATCTAACCCACTCAGCCACCGAGGCTTCCGCAAAAATGAAAGTCCGACAACTAGTAGATCACGTACTTTGTGTACCCCTCTGTACTTGTCGGACTTTCATTTTTGTGGAAGCCTTGGTGGCTGAGTGGGTAAGATCGCTGACTTTGTGTGCTGGCGATAAGGTGCCTTAATCTGAGAGTGTTGGTTCGTATCATGGATGAAAACAGACAAGTGTTAAGTCCTTGGCAAGAAAACTTCATATATATATGTTCTGTTCAAATATGCCATAAGAACAAACACACGTTTTTATTTTTTTTTCTGTCGATAAGGTCCCGACTATCTTTCGCCTGCTGACTTGAACTGAAGGCTTTACATGAAAGTGTTTCCCTTGAAAGATTATGACTGATCACATCTAAATTCGTGTTTACCAGTGTGCGTATTCTAGTTCCCGCCTTCCAGAAGACCCTTATAGTTCACCAAACAGATGACACACAGACGGAAAGAAATCCAGCGTTTCTCTCGCATAACAGGGCAACAAGGCGCGAGTTGACATTTACCATGTATATCTAATTAGCAATCGCGGGTAAGTGCTAAGCCAGTCTAAAGTGAAACATTCCTGCCATTGCTTTTGATACCTTCATCCTGGAATGCTAAATAGTTGACTGTTCATAAAACAACTGTGTATCTTGTTAATTAAGAAAACCAGTTGATGCATTTAAAGTATTCCTTTTTCCGAAAAACACACGGATTGCCAACTCCTGGTGATATAAAGCCTTATTCAGATACAATGGGAGTAGTTTCGTCCACGGAGATCCCAGTGTAATTACATGTGGTCTGTGGGGGAGGGAATTGTTCAAATATCAAGAATATTTCTCGCCTGGTCAAATACTGCTACTTTGAAGACGGGCAACATTTAGAAGAGTCAATTTGAATTCCAACCCCGAGCGACCTCGTTATAGGGCCACACATAGTGTTATCAACATGTCGTCGTTTGCACGTTGCCATTTATCTTCATGTTATCTGCGTTTTGTTGCATGCATGTTGTCGTCACCATGTTGACGTCTGCATGCTATCTGCATTGTCATCTTCATGTTGTCCGCGTGTTGTAACATGCATGTTGTCTGCATATTGCCCCCTGCGTGTTGTCTGTACATTGTCGTCTGCGCGTTGCCCTTTGGTGTTGTCTGTATAATGTCGCTTGCATGTCTGTATATTGTCGTCTGCGCATTGTCAGTATTTTGTCGTCTGCATGTATCTGTTGTCTGCATGTTGTCGTCTGCGCGTTGTCTGTATATTGTCGTCTGCATGTTGCCGTTTGCGCGTTTTGTCTGCATATATATTGTCGTCTGCGTGTTTTCTGTATATTGTCGTCTGCGTGTTGCCGCCATGCGTGTTGTCTGTATATTGTCGTCTGCGTGTTTTCTGTATATTGTCGTCTGCGTGTTGCCGCCATGCGTGTTGTCTGTATGTTGTCTGTAATTTGTCGTCTGCGTGTTGCCGCCATGGGTGTTGTCTGTATATTATCGTTAGTGTGTTGTCTGTACATTGTCATCTGCGTGTTGCCGCCATGCGTGTTGTCTGTATATTGTCGTTTGTGTGTTGTCTGTATATTGTCGTCTGCGTGTTGCCGCCATGCGTGTTGTCTGTATGTTGTCGTTTGTGTGTTGTCTGTATAGTGTCGTCTGCGTGTTGCCGCCATGCGTGTTGTCTGTATATTGTCATCTGCGTGTTGCCGCCATGCGTGTTGTCTGTATATTGTCGTTTGTGTGTTGCCGTCTCCGCCTGTGTTGTAATGAGCTTTGTACGTTAAAATCTCGTTCTGTTAAATATGTTCTGTGATTACGAATTTAGGGTCGTGTTTTTTAAAGAAAACATTCCACGAATAACTGTTTTCAGAAAGGAACAGAAAAAGTTATCAAGGACAACTACCCAGCAAATCTTCACAACGCTAACATGTTAGATATCTACGATGGCAATACATCAGCCTAACGTTCCCTTATGTTATACAGTGAGTGAGTGACTATATTGTTACACCGCTTTATAGCAATGTTCAAGCAACATTACGACGGGGGGATCGAACCAGGGTCGTTGGCGTGAGGGTCGAACGCTTTAACCACTACCCCACCCTCCCTAACGTTATTCATGCTGCATATTCTAAATTGAAATGTTGAAATCCTCATCAATGCGTGTGACTTCAGAAGGGTATGACTTTTTTTATATGTTTCGATGACTGCTGTAATACATCCAATTTTCTTTGGACACAAAACATATCTTTTTAAAGGCATCAAGTGAACAATTATTTAGTTTATATTAATTTATTTGGTTTTCCTTACTACAGGCAATATGATATAGTCAGTCCCTTTGGAAGCAACAGTGGAGTGCGTTTTAATGTTATCAAACTATGAAACAGTTTTTCTAAAATGTAGTTCCGGTTGGGGGCGATTTGTAAGAGTTACTTAATGTCCTTGTGATAACTGTATTGGCAACATGTCCTGACGAGCATTACGTATCGAAAAATATATATGCATTAAAAAATACAGAGACCACTCGATCGCCTCAAATCCCGTCCGTGTGAAGCAATAGAACACGGACTATTTATCCATTTTGCAGGGCGTTATAGTGAGGGGATGACGTCACATGAATAAGCCAATAAGGGGGAGCACCCTCCAGTGTAATGAAAACGCACCCACACGCAAAGCTGTCCGCGGGGACTGAGAGGTGAAGTAACATTCAGCCGCCCCCCTCAGTGTCATCATGTTGCTCGCTTTTCTTGGACTTTTAGCTGTTTGGCTCGCCTCTGGTAAGACGTCAAAATATTCTTTGTTTCCTATAATTGATAACGCTGTGGGTTTTTTTCAAAATAGAGCTGGGTTACCTGCGGATTCAATCGCGCTCAATTGAATTTGAACCGAACGCGCCAAGCATACTTTGGAGTTTGTAGTAATCGCAGTATTGCATTTTGTAACCTATGATTGTACATATCACCTGCCTACCGACAATAGTTGAAATAGCAGATAGCTTGTGTGGGGAATTGTAGGTAAAAGTCCATGTGGGAGATTGCTTGTGTGGGGAATTGTGGGTAAAAGTCCATGTGGGAGATTGCTTGTGTGGGGAACTGTGGGTAACATTCCATGTGGGAGATTGCCTGTGTGGGGAATTGTGGGTAAAAGTCCATGTGGGAGATTACCTGTGTGGGGAATTGTGGGTAAAAGTACATGTGGGATATTGCCTGTGTGGGGAATTATGGGTAAAAGTCCAGGTGGGAGATTGCTTGTGTGGGGAATTGTGGGTAACATTCCATGTGGGAGATTGCCTGTGTGGGGAATTGTGGGTAACATTCCATGTGGGAGATTGCCTGTGTGGGGAATTGTGGGTAAAAGTCCATGTGGGAGATTACCTGTGTGGGGAATTGTGGGTAAAAGTCCATGTGGGATATTGCCTGTGTGGGGAATTGTGGGTAAAACTCCATGTGGGAGATTGCCTGTGTGGGGAATTATGGGTAAAAGTCCATGTGGGAGATTGCCTGAGTGGGGAATTATGGGTAAAAGTCCATGTCATGATGTGGGAGATTGCCTGTGTGGGGAATTGTGGGTAAAAGTCCACGTGGGATATTGCCTGAGTGGGGAATTGTGGGTAAAGGTCCATGTGGGAGATTGCCTGAGTGGGGAATTATGGGTAAAAGTCCATGTCATGATGTGGGAGATTGCCTGTGTGGGGAATTGTGGGTAAAGGTCCATGTGGGAGATTGCCTGAGTGGGGAATTATGGGTAAAAGTCCATGTCATGATGTGGGAGATTGCCTGTGTGGGGAATTGTGGATTATTTCGAATAGTCCATGTAATGGATTGCCTTTGTGGGGGTTTGTTGAGTGAGTGAGTATGGTTTTACGCCGCTTTTAGCAATATTACAGCAAGATCACGGCGGGGGACACCAGAAATGGGCTTCACACATTGTATCCATGTCGGGAATTGAACCCGGGTCTTCGGCGTGACGAGCGAACGCTTTAACCACTTGGCTACCCGACCGCCCCTTGTCCTTATTGACAATAGGCGTTAAAAGTGTTAAAAAGGGTATGAAATATCATAGATAAAGTAACTGATTGTGTTAACCGACCCTTCTAATGACTTTACAACCAATTGTTTCCAATGACTCTCCAACCGATTGTTCTAATGACTCTCCAACCGATTGTTCTAATGTCTGTCCAACCGATTGGTGTAATGACGCTACAACCGATTGTTCTAATGACGCTACAACCGATTGTTCTAATGACTCTCAAACCGATTCTCCGAATGATTTACTACATCCGACTGTTCTCATGACACATCTGAGTGTTCTAACCGAGTTAGATGACTGTTCTAATGACACTACAGCCGACTGTGCTAATGGCGATATATTTGACTGCTCTAATCATGCTGCAACCGACTGTTCTAATGACACATCTGAGTGTTCTAACCGAGTTGATGACACTACAACTGACTATTCTGATGACACTACATCCGACTTTGCTAATGGCAATATATTTGACTGCTCTAATCATGCTGCAACCGACTGTTCTAATGACACGAAAACCGAGTTGTCAAATGAGACGCTACAACCGTTTGTGCTAATGACATTACAGCCGACTGTTCTAATGGGGCTTAAACCGAATTGCCAAATGAAACTACAACCGACTGTTCTAATGGCAATACAGCCGACTCTCGTAATGACGCTATATTTGACCTCTAATTACGGTGCAACCGATTATTCTAATGACGCTAAAACTAACTGTTCTACTGACACCATAGCCAACTGTCCTAATGACGTTATAATCGAGTTCTAATGCCGTTGCCACCGATTGTTCTAATCAAGCTAAAACCGACCGTTCTAATGACACTACAGCCGACTGTCCTAATGACGTTATATTCGACTGTTCTGTTGACGTTGCCACCGATTGTTCTAATCACGCTAAAACACTTTTTCTGATCACGCTAAAACCATTGTTCTAATCACGTTAAAACCATTGTTCTAATCACGCTAAAACCGGCCGTTCAAAGTCAACAGGTGTTGTGTCACACTGAAGTATTCATCAGCCAAGAAGAAAACTGAATTATTATTTTCTTTCAAAATGAATATATGATATTGCACACCAAGTCTCATTTTCAACCAAAAACGTCAAATAATAAAAAGTGAATTAGTTAAGACCAAAACGTCACTTGCCGTGCGTGTTGGAAATGATCGCAATGATCCAGTCAGTATTCCGGCAGGGTGATGCTTGTTTACCCTCGGTCTAAGTACATGTATTGACTGTAGATAGAGATGCTAGGGGTGACACGGGTGGCCTGCCAGGACACTGCTTGCTATATGTACATAGGTAATCTATTACACACATCTCAGGTGTTCACGTCAACTGCCTACACGTGTGGGGTCGACGAGAAACCTTCATTAAATGATGTAAAGTACTGTTTATTTGTAATGTATGTATGGATATGGTTAAAATTAATGTGGCGATGGAGAGTTGAACTTAGGGGCCGACCTTTTGATATTGTCTGTTGGGATTGGGGATTCAGGCTGTTGAGAAAAAAACCCGAAATGATACAATTTCCTTTACAGTACAATTTCCGTTGTGGCACAATTTTCCTTACAGTACAATTTCCCCTACAGTACAATTTCCCTTACAGTACAGTTTTCCCCTACAGTACAATTTCCCCTACAGTACAATTTCCCATACTGTGCAATTTCCCCTACAGTGCAATTTCCCTTACAGTAAAATTTCCCATACAGTAAAATTTCCCATATGGACAGTTACCCATACAGTACAATTTCCCATATGGTACAATTTCCCTTACAGTACAATTTACCATATGGACAATTACCTATACACTACAATTTCCCATACAGTACAATTTCCCTTACAGTACAATTGCCCTTACAGTACAATTTCCCTTACACTACAATTTCCCATATGGTACTATTTCCCTTACACTACAATTTCCCATATGGTACAATTTCCCTTACAGTACAATTTCCGAACTAAGACCATTTCCCTATGGAACAATTTCTCCTCTAGTACAATGTCCCTAATGGTACGATTTCCCTTCAAGTACACTATCGTGAACCTATTGCATCACTCGACTCCACCCAAGCTTGTCTGTCTACAGCGTCCTCCCAGGGTTGTGAACAGGGCGTGATCGTCTCGTGCATCCAGCCCATGCTCCCGGTGTTGCAGGACCTCACCTCCAGCCTGCAGACCGGCAACATCAACCTCGCAGCACTTGCACAGGCCTGCCCGTAAGTCAAGGAATGGCAAGTTGGAGACTATATGCATTATTCCGTCTATTTCGATTTGATTGAGAGAGGATTTTGATATTTGGGACCCCTCCCATTTAGAAACGCTGGATCCTCCCTTGTCGTGTATTATATTACAATCTTCAGCGTAAGTGCTAAATATCAGCATTCAGTCCTCTTCCTTCTGTGTCATTATATATGTGTTATTCACTACTTCTTTTGAATGGAACCCATGACCATTTGATCCTGCCAAGGGAGGCAACCCCGAACAGCGCTAGTGTTTAATGTCATATTCTGATCACATTCTGTGCGTTCTATGTGACTGTGTTTGTTACATACTTCATTTCAAGAAAGTGGGAACTACAGTTTTATGTATCTACACAAAATCTATATTGCTACAACAGGATTACCCATTGCTCTATGGCTGGACCAATGCCGATGCTACGTTAAATTTTAAATCATGCACAAACTCACAACTGGCTGACGAGCCAGATGTTATCTACACATTCTACCATGAATTTGGAATTTACTCGATTCTGATTGCTCAATCAGAGGCTATTAAATCACAATAAACCCCCTCTGATTGAAACAGCTGGTTTGACGGCCGCCTCACCGCGGAAGATAATATTCATAGAATAGTACTATTTTCAGTCATTGTCGGTAGGCATATATAAATTATTACATCTACAATTACAGGTTACAAAATGCACAGATGCGGTTACTACAATATTCAAAGGATGTGTGGCAATACATTTCGTGCAGAAAGCACGATATAAATCTACAAGGGGAATGTATTTACGTTTTGGAGACAACAGAGAGCTTGGAATTTTGGCACTGTACTATATACGACTGTAACGTCATATCTTTTGCGTCACAATGAGCGATAAGACGTCATAATGGTGACGTGCAATGTAGAGCGAAAGCCTTACGAAGCTTGCTTTGTTTTCTTTAGGGACGCCCACCTCATGGTAGCTTACCAAGTTGCCGTGCTTATATGCTTTCAATGCCTGCCATATGTTCGAGTGAAGTATTAGGGTGTCAACAAACTGCTTGAGTATATACAGCGCCATATTTTGTTCGGTGATTCCGTAACTCAGATCGATAACCCACTAAATTTAACATTTGAAACCTCACGCTGCGCGTTCGGTTCCAAATTCAATTTAGCGGGATTAAATCTACAGGTAACCTAGCTCTACATTGAAAACACAGTATGTTTATCTCCTAAATGTCATTATGTTTCAACACAAGCTACATTGAACAGCGATGAGCTGATCATTGTCCTAGATTTTAAGAGTGCTTCAAGTGATGGGTAAGTTTGCACTAACAATTGTTTAATGGTCCTTACTAAATCTGCTTCAGCGATTACCGCACCTACAAAGACTGTACTTCCCCCCAGTGTCTACCCCCGCTGTTCAGAGATGTTAATCAGCTGCTGCTCGAGGCGTTCTCCTACATCTGCGACGACGCCTTCTCAGGTACTAAATATAAATATGTACAGTAAACTATAGATATGCTATTAAATCATTTATAAAGCATATTCAAGTAATTGCTTTGAAGGAAAAAATTATATATTGCCAAACCAATATTGCTGACAAAAACGTTAAAAACCAACTAATATTCCGGAAACTACCGAGAGTTAATGAGTAGAGTTGTCATCACGTGACCTGACGTCAAAGTGCAGAGTTGACTTGCAGACGATCACTGTTTCTGCATAGTGTTCGGTAGATTTTCTAACTAGCGTTCGCCATGACATCACCATAAAATGCCACCAATGAAAATGTTGAATTTTCACTCAATGACCTTACACATATTCGTCTATATGACATCTTCCCGAAGCAAGAGAGTAAACTGACTTTAAAAGTCCAGTTTCCACCCTTGCCGAACTAGGCTAGAATTACTGGGCTCGATCTTAGTGCCACCAGTGGCTATATTACCAGTTATGTCCCCTCTAAGCCTCTCCTATGGACCAATGAGATTCCACCTCTCGTATCACCCAAAATGGTGGCGCCAAGTCAGGACGATCTGATCGATAATCAAGATCTATATTGTGATAAAACGGGTCTTACATCGCGAAAGTGCATCAAATCACGTGAGCACCTTGATTAAAAACATGAAAAGATTTAGAAAATATCTGTTGACAACGAGTTGGCGGTGCACATGTTTTGCAAATCCTGCAATCGACCGAAATCTGCACGACAGTTAACGAACGTGATTTCGATTTCGGTGCGCGATTTTGATTGGTCTATGCATAGACTCGTTAGTCCAGCCAAAATGTAACTCCATAATACCAGCCTAGATCGGCAAGGGCGGAAACTGTAATTTTATAGTCAGTTAACTCACTTGCCTCGGGAAGATGTCCATATGAATACGAGCCCCTGGTCAGTTAGAATAGCCTTGAAAGGAGCCAGGAAAGCGATGAAGTGAAGACGATCAATCTGATGTCAACACGGAAAGACTAGGGAACACAATCTGGCATCAAGCGCTATCCTGACATTTCTAAATAAAATGGACTCTTAGCAATAAAATATCGTGACACAGTTATTCTGGGGGGAAATTACCAGGTGTAGATTGACGCTTAGCATTGTCAAAACACTGTTCTCTGTGTTGTCTTTATGCCAAACAATTAGCATAGTGATAGGGCTGAAGCTATATATGTTTTCTATACAAATGAATGTTATGTATGTGTTAATTGTATGGTCTAGTGATGGTTGGTTCATTTGGTTTAAACAGTTGTAATAATATATACTCCGTTGGTCAATAGAAGGATAATAGTGCCTGGCAGTTAGCTTACTACGTTCACAATGACTCTACATGTTGTCAAAAACATCCATCATTATAACATGGTCTACCATATATTAGAGACAGACACAAACGAAGAATGAAATAAACAGACGTTTTTAACAACAAGTAAATGAACTAAAACTGACAATATCACACTAAAAAAAACTGTTCCATAATATATTTTTTTCTAAACATGTAGACCACATTCACACTTATCTAACCTAAAACCGTTGTTTGTGTGTCGTACAATAACTCATCCTAGATTTCGACACAGAATTGACTGAAATAAACATCGGTGGTGGATCCAGAGGCGGGAACAATCATTCCAGAGGCAAATACATGTACTTGATATTTTTTTATTTTTCTTGACTAAAACATCTTCATTTATATAATCTGTCCTGTGTTTATATAAAAAAGGTGTATATAATGCACGTGTTGGTGATTATTTACGTACTTTTTATTCTTTTTTAAAATGACGACTCAATTAAGTCCAGGGCTTACAGATACTGTGAATATAGAAGAGTCTCAATTTCAAGTCTACTTTACCAAAGACGTCCTAAAATGTAGAATAGTTGATCCTGCATGTTTTATGAATAAAAGAAGATAGGCCTTTCTTGCAGCATCAGGCACATACAAGGGTTTTAGTATGCAATACCATGAACTGAATATGTGAATTTATGTACACCAAAGCTGTGCCAAATATTTTGCTAAATGTATCTTCGTAATCAAATTCTTTTAGTTTGTGTGGATCTCTGTCATAGACAGATGCCTAAAAATGAAAGAAACATAAAACGGCTGTCCAGTCGGTTGCCATATTTCTCCAAGGTGACATCGTTGTATCCAAACTTTCCTCCTCGCTAAATCGGCCTTTTCGCTGGGAAATCTCACGAATGACACTTGGTACTTTTGTTTCACGAACTACTACACCCCCACATGCCCCACATCGCGTCTTCCATACGCACAGAATAATGACAAATCACTTCATTCTCATGTAGTTCTCAAGAAAATGGCGGACGTCCTTCCACTATGACGTCACAGCTACAGCCCGGCCTCTAGCTGGCATTTCAATATGCATTCGCGCTGGTTGTGGGCAGTTGTTCGTTGCTTTTTAAATAACAACGAAATCACATATTACTTTTTAGGTGTAAATATGTACTTGGTATGACTATTTAACATTTTAAAGTGTTTTTTTTTCAATAGATCTCCTTTAACATTGGCAATTATCTCCTGTTCCGTCCGATAAGTTTCAAGTTTCAACGTTAGGCTAATCACACTCGCATTATTTTGGGGACGCATTAATTCCATGAGTTACTGTAAGCAGAAATCCTGGTATAATTAGGACACCTTCAATGTGGCTTCTGTTGCAACCAGGTTTATAATCGGATGCGAATTGTGTTAGCCTTTCTAAGAGACAATGTTAGAAGTGGTCATATTGCAAAGATTCATCATCGTATATTGATCTAGTGGTTTTAGAGAAGCGGAAAAGATACACGTGTGTATTGAGGATTATGACATTTCGCTATCTCAAGTCTTCGTGATTGACAACATTACGCCTATTCCATGTGAAATATTCCCTGCAGACATCCTGCGGTACAGGTCATGCTGGGAGAATTTCAACCTTAACGCCGATTTCCGAGACTGCGGCTTCCAGGCTAGCGACATCGGCTCCAGCGACAGGGACCCTTGCAGGTTCTATGACGAGATCGAGGCTTGTCTTGATGACGTCACAAGGACCCGCTGTGGGATGGACCAAGCACGGGTGATACGAGGATATCTTAGCGTGGCTAATGCGCAACAGAAACGAGATCTACAGTGTGAAACAGCGCCACCTATCGACCAAGGGGAGACAACAGGTACGTGGAACATATCGACCTATAATTTCATTTTTAGTAACCATACCACATTAGCCAACAATCAACGCTAACATATAATCACATATATAAACCAGTACACACAGCAAATAGCTAATTATAGGTTTTGGCACGGAGAAAACATGATCTGAAGATAATCTGATTTTCAAAACGTAGTCTTGAATGGAAGTTATTGTCTTGAATTGAAATCACCAGTTTGAAACCAGTGCCGTAAAGCTCGAAAAATCTGCTGTCTGATTGGTTAATGTCGACCTCTTGATAGTCATTTCATTGGTCGGTCAGTTTGGGAAAGGTCGTTCTGACGTGACCTGTAATGAGATGTCCTCAGATCTTTGTTTATCGGTAGCGAGAACTAAGATATGATATAACGATGAGTGTATCACATGTGTTCCTCAGCATCTCCTCCAAAGTTCCCAGTGCGGTGCTGGGACTGCAACAGTGGCATGTCACCTGACCAGAACCCACTGTGTCCCGTGAGCGGCAACCTCACCACGGATCTCCTCACCAGCGTCATGTGTGATGACGCCTGCTTCGTGAAGACGGCCCGCTGGAATAAACACAGTACGTGTTTAGTAGAGCTTATATTTTGATCAACAGGCAACCTCGCGGGGTAGAGGTAGTAGTAGTAGTAGTAGTAGTAGTAGTAGTGTGCATAGTTATAATGCCCCAAATCCACACCCAACATTATTACTCCTGTCAATGTATCAGTTTCCACTCAATTTTCATTCTCAGCTCCCTGGGGAGAATACAACCCAAGCTGCCTGTGAGGCAGTAGAAGGCTAACAGTAACATTACCATCTTATCCTACCGGGTACCCATTCACTGCTGGGATGATAATGTTTGTAATGGGCTTCGGGTGGCCACACTGTTAGGTCGTGGGTCGATGCTCTTGCTTCCACAACTAAAGGTTCGTCTGGTCCAGTTCTGATAAATGATTCATGTCTGTTTGTTTGTTGTTTAGCGCCACACTCTGCAATCTGCCTGCCGCGTGACGGCAACTTTTCTGTAATCAGATTTGAACCAGGAAAATCAATGGTGGAACATCACACCCATATGGGTACACACATCTAACATCCGTCCTCGCTGAAATATTCCTGCTGTACGACGGTGTCCTGTAATTAATCGAGTTGGGAACAGACAATCCAGTGATTGAGATGAGCAACGTCCAACGCTGTCGGGGTATAATGACACGCAATCAACCAAGTCACCGAACGTGACAACCCGATCTATTTAGATGCCTTTTAAAACAAGTATAGGCTGCTTGGGACCTATTCTAACCCGGGGTGATTAAGGGTAATAACACATTTTGTCTTTTTGTAACCACTGGACACATGAACGTTCTCTCAGAGCATATGACCTTACTGTCTGCTGGGTAATAGTCGTTGCTGTGACAATTGCCTCACTCACTCACCCCTCTCTCTTCCCAGTTATCTACCGTGGGTGTTCCAAGGGACATTACTTACCGGAAGCTCTGGAGCGGACCGGATGTCAAGAGAACCAAGCCGAGGGTGTGGTCTGGTGCTTCTGCTCAACCGAGAAATGCAACACACAGGATATGACGTCATTCTTGGAAGAGCGCGAGTGAACTGGTGCCCATGTGTTTGATCTATGATATGTTATGGTTCAACGTGATCTTTGAAGACATGTTCCATCTTGCTTAACGAATGTTCATTTAACCAGGACTATGGAAAGATCTTTCTTTAATTAGCTAATCATTCTCTAATTAGCCAAAAAGAGGTTTCACATCACAATATCGTGTCTCTCATAAAATTAACAACGTTGACTTAACGCCAGCGCAACAACCTATCTGCTCTAAGAGACCGACCATTTGATATTCTGGGGGGAATAAATTGTCCCTGAAAATTCTTGAAAAAAATAATTATGCTTTTGACTGTTGAAAAAAAGAAAGAAATTGTACGCCACAAAAATAATATTGTTGCAATGCACTTTCCTTTTAACTGAAAAAATATATGGTTTTGCAGCTGTAGCTTAAAAAAACTAATTCTCAGACAAACTCACAGGCTTCACCCAGAAAATCAAATGGTCGGTCCCTTATGACGACTTCCTGAGTTAGGTAAGGTGAGGGACGTGGAATAGGGACTCATGCTTGACAACGATGGTTGTATCTCAACTTCACGCCGTATTAGTGTAAATAAAAAGATTGTCGTTCATACTGATGTTTGTGAGTAGCTACATCAGCTTCTAATCTATTCTATTCTTTGGGAGAACCGACGTAGTTCATTTAAATCTGAAACGAATGCGATCCTACCGTTCAAAAACAACGTTTTATGGGTGAAGTTTTAACGTATTTACCCCATCTCTCGACAATCGGCTCCCCTTTAACAGTTAAACAAATCACTCTTGGCCTAACATACGAACAATAAAAACAAAGCCCTGATAAGCTATGAGGGAACCGGATACACATTCCAGCTCACCTGACCACCCGATCCCCTTCGTCGAGACGAAAGTGATGACAGAAGACAAAAACGGAAGGAAAATGTTTGCTAGCTCACAACGCCGGTCTTAATATTTCCGAACAACTTTAGTCGATTCCTCACATGAGTGACAGGGGCCGTAGTAGTAATCGGGGAAATAAGTCTTTGAATGAGTTGTTCGCAATATCGCGTAATTTTGTCGCGGTATAATTGTTTTTGTGTCCAAACATTAGCTGAGGGAAAGAAGCTATACATATTTATGAAATGTATCTTGACATTTTTCAGTTTAATAATATTCACAATTATTAGTGACAGATATCAAGTGTTTAACGATATTTAATATCGAAAGTAAATCGTTAAACATCTGATATATATAAACAAGAGTATCCTTTAAAAAGGCGAGGCTGGTGCAAGTCAGGCGTGTGGTGCAGATAGATACTACACCTGAGCCCCGTTCGACAAAGCAACCTTAGCGCCATGGTGATCGCTACTCTCATACTTTAACGTAGGCTTAGGATAGATTTGTGGAACCGTGCCCTGGACATTTTGTACGATACATGACGGTGAGGTTTATTTACTCAAACCATCGGAACTAGATATGTTGAATACCAGAATATCAGTAGTAATACCGGAGAAGGTGAGGTAAGGTGAGGTGAAATGGGGTTTAAAGTAGCTTTCAAGATAATTGCACTTGTATAAAGACGTGCATGCTCGTGTGTGTGTGCGTGTGTGTGTGTGTGCGTGTGCGCGCGCGCGTGTGTGTATCTGTGTGTGTGTCTTTGTGCGTCTGCTTTTCCTCCTCCTATCTGGTCTTATGCCAGTTTCATTCTTCGCGTTGACACCGAGTAACTGATTTCACAGTGGCTGAGTAAATCTCTGAGAGATATTCAATGCTATCAGGGGTATTGCTATTTACACTAGTGTACAGGACATACGGCAGTACTAACCTGAGGATACTGCTGATATAATGGCACAAATGCACAGGAAAAACTAAGGCGAGACAAAGAGTATTTCGCATATGTAGTACTCTGCTGTACCATGCATGGCGTTATTGTATTTGTTTGATGTTTAACGCCGCATTCAGCAATATTCCAGCTATTTGAAGGCGACCTGTAAACAATCGAATCTGGACCAGACAATCCAGTGAGCAACGATCCACGCCGTCGGGGTACGATGACACGCAATGAACTAATTCAACGAGTCTGACCACCAGATTTTTTGGATTGTCGCATACGGCCAGCATCTGGGACCAATATAAACACGGTCTCCGAAAATTAGATCGTTATTCCGTGAGCACATTTCACATCATTGTTATGATGTTAAAAAATGCTGTTATTTCTGAGGGTGTGGCGAAAATGACAAAACGGTTTACAGTATCCCTACTTTCTGTGATGAATCAATCAAGACAATGCAATACCAGTAATCCGCATATCACATTATGAAGCATCTTATTTAAAATACATTAGACTGTAGAGTCACGAGCACAAAGCCTACACTGTACGTGCTTAGATTTCATGAATATCATCCATAGATTGGTAAGAGCACCAGACTGCTCAACCATCCTTGTCACTATAAGACACCGGTTCTCTGTAGTGTACTGTGCTGGTTCACATAAATAAAAAACAAAAAAATAATATAAGAAGTTTACTTTGACACGATAGTTTATTGCACATCTTTGAAATAGGTCTGATTGTCGTCGGTTATCACTGCACGATCTCAAAACACCAGGCATATTTCCTGATGTCAAATTCACTGAAGGTTGACGGACGATGGTTTGCCGATTGGAAAACTACTGTTTCGGGAGCTTGACATCCTTCACACTGTCTGGGAGCTTGGGTGTATCTGGCATTGAAGGGTCAAAGTTCAAGCAAGTTATGTATCCGTATTTACTACTCTAAGCATTTCTTCAAAACTATACCGTCTCAAGTCTTAACATATTATTGAAGAGCATAATTGAATACAAATACCATGTTCTTCCAGTCAAACTATACCATAGCTTATTCACACTGGGAATATCTGGGCAGAAGAGTACCTAAATCCTACCCGGCATTTAATCGTGACCCGGCGTTTAATCGAGGAAATGCGGTACTCTGGAATCTCCACGGCAGCTTGAAGTACCTACCCTGTAGTATCCGCTGCTGAGAGCCGAGTGTCCGCCTGACCGGAGACTGCATCAGTAGCGTGATGGCGATCCTCATCTCTTCCTTCATGTCACGCGCAGCGTACTCCAGGGTTTCTGCGCGGTGTGCGACATTCTGCAGCATCTGTAACAGCATCGAGGGCTGTCCTCCCACTGCAACGTCACACACAACATTGAAACGCGCAGCTCAACGTTAAAACATCTACGTTGGAACAGAGACCATATATCGGCATATGGTCTCCGAGACAAACCACGGCTACAATTTGGACACCAAACCGTCAGGTGGCACTCGACCCTCAAAACCTTTGTGAAGTAAGAGCTGACCTAGACATGCGCTATCTGCAACTGTGAACTTAGCCACGTAAAACATTGAACCCACGTTCTTGCAAGGCTGAAACTCATCACGTGCAGCGCTGAAACACACAACTTACTTACTCACCCTTCAATCTACAATCGATGAAACCCTGCATACAGTACAACATGATTTTAATTATGGTTATATTCCAACATAATATTATGAAGTCTAAAATAGAAAATGAAAAAAAACGTTATTCGGGTATCAGCGTGTCACTGCGTGTTAGTGATTTGTATTACCAAAATATTTTTTTCCATTTCCCCCAACACCCAAAGTCATATGGAGCAGACTCCGTTGTGAATAAAATGAACACATATTTTTTTCATATTTGTATTATTGAGCCTAGTAAAATGTGTGTCCAGTTGTGTTTGCTGGTATTCAAGGTGGGGAAAAATATAAAAAAAGGTGTTCCTCCCTCATCAGTTTAGTTTTCAATAGAAATAAGAAAAAGCTGCCAAACAGAAAGACAAATATTCCAACACTGACTTACCAACTACCCGGGAACCCACTCCACAAAACAACCTAAACATGGAGATTGGCGTGCTTCACTTGCCCATTACTCTAAGACTGTCACAGTACTAAGATTGATTCATAAAGACTCTAGAATCTGCCTGTTTCAGTGTACCCGGAACCTAACTGTTTCATGGTGCCTCGAATTTACCTATTTCGTGGTACCTCAGAATCTACATGTTTCACGGAACCCGGAATCAACCTGTTTCATGGTACCCGAACTTACCTTTTCAAGGTACTCGTAATCTACTTGTTTCATGGTACCTGGGAATCTGCATGTTCCATGGTACCTCGGAATCTGCAGGTCTCAAGGTACCCGGAATCTACCGGTTTCACGGCACCCAAAATCAACCTGTTTCATGGTACCTCGGAATCTGCAGGTCTCAAGGCACGCGGAATCTACCTGTTTCTGGGTACCTCCGAATCTGCATGTTCCATGGTACCTCGGAATCTACAGGTCTCAAGACACCCGGAATCTACCTGTTTCAAGGTACCTGGAATCTACCTGTTTCAGGGTACCCTCAATCTAAATGTCCCCTCACAAACTACTGTTAGAGAACAATTTCCACTATTTGTCGAACCTGTTGTTGCAGTTGCTCTCTGCGGGGGTGGTGTGGAGGTGTAGGAGCGGACACAGACACACCTGGGACACGCCTTGTCGTACCTGAAACACGGGGCACTCTGCAGTTCAATCGATCTCATTAAAATCAGATGTAGTTCAATACACAGTTGAGTGAAAATTGTTTTACACCTCAGTCAGGAATATTCAAGCTATATCACGGCGGCTTGGTAATAATTGGGACAGGAAAACCATGACAAGTGTAAGGATTGCCGCCTTTAGGGTATCCCACTGAGACCTCCATCAGGTGAAAGAGGTGCTTTGATGTCATGAAAGTACAACTTAGTATTCTTTAAAAAATGGACTTGTATGTACAACACGTGCATTTCTACCAAACATGTTTTTCATGGCGAAGCATATCTAACTCCTATATGGTTTTGGGTATGAGTTGTTTGGCCGGGATTAATTTTGTTCTCAATATTTGTGTGCACATTTTCGAGAGCTTTCTTGAGATTCCGACTTTATTTGTGCTAATATTTGTTTGTTGTTTGTTTGTTTGTTTGTTGTTTAACGCCGCACTCAGCAATATTCCGGCTATATGACGGCGGTCTGTAAATAATCGAGTCTGGACCAGACAATCCAGTGATTAACATCATGAGCATCGATCTTCGCAATTGGGATCGATGACATGCATCAGCCAAGTCAGCGAGCCTGACCACCCGATCCCGTTAGTCGCCGCTTACGACAGGCATAGTCGCCTTTCACGGCAAGCACGGGTTGCTGAAGATCCCATTTGTGCTAATAGATTACACGTAAAAAGCATACATCTGTGTCTAATGATGGCGGAAATGAAAGAAACAAGAAATAGTTATGGATGGTGAATGCTAAAACGATTTCTATGGTGGCCGAGAAGGAACATCGCTTTTCCGCCTTCAATTACGGCCGCGAGAGAGCGATACAGCGATAACACGAGACGAGGCAGCGATATGAATATCGCTTTCTCGTCTCGTGCTATCGCTTTCTCGTCTTGTGTTTATCGCTTTCTCATCTCGTGTTATCGCTTAATCGCGGCCACAATTGAAGGCGGGAATGCGATGTTCCCTCCCGGCCACCATAGAAATAGTTTTATCGACTTAAGTTACGGCGGCGAGAAAGAGATGTCCCCTCTCGGCCTTCATAGATGATGCAATTATTGATATATTGATCAGATCGTACTTTTGAAAAGAAAAGGTTAAAGTAAGTCCCGAGTTTTTGCTTTCAGTTCCATTGTTGTCTTCGGCCCCTACAATATGTTTGGATGGATGAAATTATACACGCGTCTGCGAAAAAGACTTATTTCACAGTCGGAGATTGCGAAAGGAATTTTACTTAATCTAAACACTTTGAAGCTGAATACTCAGCTATTGATACTCACTGTCTTTCAGCAATTTGCCACGGAGGGCAGGCGGGGCAAATGACCACGGGGCACCTGGAGGGCGGGAGCGGGGTTGAAGGTGTCACTGCAGTGCACACACACGTCGAGCACGGTAATGTGTAGCTGAAAGTTCACAATAAGAAGTAGAGGAATAATTCCTCAAGAGCTAAACCGCTCAACAACAACATCGTCAACAGATCCACATACACCGTCGTGGGAGACAACAACATTCTCAAAAGATCTACTTACAACGTCGTGCATGGGAGAGTGACATCGTTGTAAACGTATCTACTTCCAAAGTTGTGTGAGACAACATCGTCAACAGATCTGCTGACAATATCATGCAAAGGGATACAACAACATCGTCAACAGATCTACTGACAATATCGTGCAAAGGGATACAACAACATCGTCAACAGATCTACTGACAATGTCGTGCAAAGGGATACAACAACATCGTCAACAGATCTACTGACAATATCGTGCAAAGGGATACAACAACATCGTCAACAGATCTACTGACAATGTCGTGCAAAGGGATACAACAACATCGTCAACAGATCTACTGACAATGTCGTGCAAAGGGATACAACAACATCGTCAACAGATCTACTGACAATGTCGTGCAAAGGGATACAACAACATCGTCAACAGATCTACTGACAATGTCGTGCAGAGGGATACAACAACATCGTCAACAGATCTACTGACAATGTCGTGCAAAGGGATACAACAACATCGTCAACAGATCTACTGACAATGTCGTGCAAAGGGATACAACAACATCGTCAACAGATCTACTGACAATGTCGTGCAGAGGGATACAACAACATCGTCAGCAGATCTACTGACAATGTCGTGCAAAGGGATACAACAACATCGTCAACAGATCTACTTACAACGTCGTGTGAGACAACATCATCGTCAACTGATTTACTTACAACGTATATCTATCTTTTTATCTATGCATACTCGCTTCATCGCAAGCAGAGTGATATCATACGTACGCTTATGTCTGACTCAGACCCATTTCACTCTAAACATTTTAATGTGGTGAAATGGGGTTTAACGTCGCGCCAAAGATTGCTGCACTTATATAGCGACGTGCATGCACGTGTGTGCGTGGCTGCTAGTACTAGTCCAGACTAATGCCGATTTACAGTGCCAGCCCACTGAGATACCATGCCGCAGTTTAACATGAATACCCCACTCAGACACAGAATACTGACCCCGAGACGGCCAGTCCTTGTTTTAGCCCCTTAATGCCGAGCGCCAGACAGGGTAATAACAAGTACCATCTTTTAACGTCTTTTGGCATGACGCGGCTGAGGATCGAACCCCGGACCTTACGCTCTCCGCTCTACCATTAACGGAGGCGGTCTAAACATTTTGAAACTGGGTGCCCAGACATTTTGGGATACTCACTGTTTTTCAGGGACTTGTCCCCGGGGGCACGTGGGGCAGGTGAGCACGGGGCACTTGGAGGGCGGGAGTGGGGTTGAAGGTGTCACTGCAGTGCACACACACGTCGAGCACGGTAATGTGTAGCTGAAAGTTCACAATATGCAGCAGAGGAAATGATTCTTCAAGAGTTAAAACGCTCAACAACAACATCGTCCTCATGCAACGTCGTTGGAGAAAACAACGTATTCAAGCGATCGACTTATAACGTCGTGCATGGAAGACAACAATGTTAGCCGATTTACTTACAACGTCGTGTGAAGCAACATCGTCAACAGATCTACTTACATTGTACAGCGTCCTGTATTGGAGACAACAATGTTAGCAGATCTACTTACAACGTCGTGTCAAGCAACATCGTCAACAGATCTACTTACAGCGTCCTGAATGTGAGACAACAATGTCAACAGATCTACTTGCAACGTATATCCATCTTCATTATGTATGCATACTCGCTTCATCGCAAGCAGTGTAATATTATACGTGCGCTTGAGCCTGACTAAGACCCATTTCACGCCAAACATTTTGAAACTGGATGCCCAGATATTATAGGATGATACTCACTGTCTTTCAGGGACTTGCCCCCGGGGGCACGTGGGGCAGGTGAGCACGGGGCACCTGGAGGGCGGGAGCGGGGTTGAAGGTTTCACTGCAGTGCACACGCACGTCGGACAAGATGATGTGTTGCTGAAAATTCGCGATAACTTATAAAGAAAGAACTAGAAGATTTAAAAGATTATTATCAAGTATTGTCCAAAGAATCAAGTTTTCGTAAAATAAACAAAATCTAGGCAAACTTAGGACAACGGTTACATCATTACATTCTGTACAGGTCAAAATGTTGATGATGTTGCTGTCAATGAATGAGTAAGACAACGACATCGTCAACAGATCTGCTTACAACGTCGTGAATGAGAGAGAGGCAACAACATCGCCAACAGATCTGCTTACAACGTCGTGAAATAGAGGGGACAACATCGTCAACAGACCTGCTTACAGCGTCGTGAATGAGAGAGACAACGACATCGACAACAGATCTGCTTACAATGTCGTGAATGAAGAGACAACACCATCGTCTACAGCTCTGCTCACGACGTTGGGAATAAGAGGGCGGCAACAACAGCGTCACATATCCCATATGGTGTACGTACATCACCTCATGGAACTCTCCAAGTCCACACATGGGGCAGGTTACCGCGGGACACCACGTCCTGGTGAAGGGCGTGGATGGCTTGTGCCTGTGCAAGTGCAGTTCATAGTCGATGACGAAGCCTGAATGCTGCTCGTGGTCATCTGACCGGAAACTGAGCGTGATGAGGTTGTTCTTTATCTCACTCCTTGGAACTGAAACATCACAGCGCCGCAACTGAGCACCATCATTGGGTGCGTTTTTGTTTGTTTTGTTGGATAACAGACTCAGCAATATTCCAGCTATAGGACGGCGGTCTGTAAATAATCGAGTCTGGACCAGACAATCCAGTGATTGACATCATGAGCATCGACCCATGCAATTGGGATGTGATGACATCCATCAACCAAGTCATCAAGCCTGACCACCCGATCCCGTCAGTCGCCTCGTACGACAAGCATAGTCGCCTTTAACGGCAAGCATGGGTTGCTGAAGACCTTTTCTACCCCGAATCTTCACGGGTCTCGTGTCAGTTAATGACGCTGTTTATATAGTACCACGTGGGTCGTTAGTCGCCTAATATACGACAAGCATCTATACCAAAAGTATAGGATAGCTCTGAACAGTTACCAAAAGATGGCACCACAATAAATACGCTCTTTTAATCGGTTATACTACTACTACTACTACTACTACTACTACTACTACCACTACTACTACTACCCGTCCATATCCACACAATAAACGCTAAGTTATTACACACACTGACAGACCAGTTTGCATTCTAATTCTCAGCTCCCTGGGGAGTATACACCCAAGCTGCATGTTCAACCACGTTTTACCACGACATATGAAGACATTTACATGTTGTGTTTCAAACTGGTGACTCGTAATGCTATCAACAATTGACGTACAATTGTAATACTATCTACAATTAGTGCCTGTGTCCCGCCAGACCCTCTGTATCGTCACTGTTACGTCGTCACACTCACTGATGATGGTGTTGTTGACGTAGCCTGGCGGAAGGCTGTCCCCGCACAGCGACGTCTTCAGCGTGTCGATGTAGAGGTAGTCGCAGCTGCAGAAGGGGCACATCTGGATGTCGAACCAGGTGAAGTGGAGGCTCACGTAGCCCTCGGTCTTGTCGTAGGGGACGCCGATGGACAGGAGAACGCTTGTGAGGTTCGGGGAGTATTTGTTGGGATAACCGGGGCTTGTGATAGTGGCCGCGGGGGCAGACACCGTGACGTAGTGTTGGGGAGCTGGGGACGAGGCAGTAACATATTGAGTGAGTCAATAAGTGTGTGTGTGTGAGGAAATTAAGTGAGTGAGTGAGTATGGTTTTACGCCGCTTTTAGCACTATTCCAGCAGTATCACGGTGGGGGACACCAGAAACGGGCTTCACACATTGTACCCATGTCTGCATGTCGGCGTGACGAGCTAACGCTTAAACCACGAGGTTACCCGACCGTCCCTGTGAGGAAATTAAATAAATCCTTTCACAAACAAATTTATTTCATTGAATCAGATGACTGTTGTCAGGTTATAAATGACTTCACATGAAAAGATGTTTCGCTGATTTATTGTTGTTTAACGCCGCACTCAGCAATATTCCAGTTATATGACGGCGGTCTGTATAGAATCAAGTCTGGACCAGACAATCCAGTGACTGATATCATGAGCATCGATCCAAGCAATTGGGATACGATGACATGCATCCACCAAGTCAGCAAGCCTGACCACCCGATCCCGTTAGTCGCCTTGTACGACAAGCATAGTCGCCTTTTACGGCAAGAATGGGTTGGTGAAGACCTATTCTACCCCGGATCTTCACGTGTCTCGTGTCAGTTAATGACACTGTTTACGTTGGTTATATTTAAGTTGAGACGCATTTCCATTAAACCACAAGGCTGATCTTATATTCGGCATCTTAGAAAAGAAATAAAGTTTGCTCTACCCCTTTTGTAGTGTAAGCTTCGGACAGAACTGTGAGCAAATGCAAAGTGTGATTACGTTGGTACAAGCAAACCACTACCTAATAGCGCGAGGTTCGACCCATACTGCCCGGGTACGACCAGAAACTATGTATCAGCCAGATTTATGATAACTCATACTCATAGTTCTGGCGTTACAATACATACACATCGTGGCGATCTCCCCAACCACGTCCTCTACATCAGCTTGTCGGGGGATGTCAACCTGCAATATGACACCAGACAGAATACATGGGAGTGAGTGAGTTGGACAGTGTTCCAGTCAGCTTTATATGGGAGGAATGCCCACATGCAGGTCTCAGACATCTTTCCGAGGCAAGAGAGTTTAAAAGTCCAGTTTCCACCCTTGCCGAACTAGGCTGGAATTCCTGGGCTCGATCGTAGCGCCACCGGTGGCTATTACCAGTTTTGTACCTTCTAAGCCTCTCCTATGGACCAATCAGATTCCACCTCTCGTATCACTTGTGTTTGTTTCACACAAAATAGTGGCGCCCAGTCAAGACGATCTGATCGACAATCAAGATCTATATTCTGATAAAACGGGTCTTACATCGCGAAGTGCATCAAATCATGTGAGCACCTTGATTAAAAACTTGAAAAGATTTGGAAAATATCTGCTGACAACAAGTTCGCGGTGCACATGTTTTGCAAATCCTGCAATCGAAATCAGCACGACAGTTTACAAACCGGATTTCGATTTCGGTGCGCGATTTTGATTGGACTATGCATAGACCCTAATACCAGCCTAGTTCGGCAAGGGTGGAAACTGGACTTTTATAGTCAGTTTACTCACTTGCCTCGGGAAGATGGTCTCAGACGTTTACCACTTTGGTGTAACCCACGTGCACGGGTATGGTGCTGACGAGCCTTGAAACATCGAACCCACAATCACAGGTTTCCGACATGCCCAAGGGACGCAACTCCGCACAGCGAATGTCAGGCGCCTCAGACGACTGGGACACCTGTGTCCAGATTATATGTTCCGGTATGTACATTGGGAAAAGGTATGGCAACGAGGCCGGATGCTATTCTGCACACGTTATACTGATATAACACATGTAGTTTTTCAAGCATGTACTATACAGATCGTTACTGATGATACACGTGCGCTTCGTAACCAGCATATGCACTGCACGAACCGCGCTATACTCGCGATGTTTGTTGTTTTACGCCGCACGAAGCTATATTCCAGATTTATTACGGTGGTATGTAAATGTTAAAGTCAAGACCAGACGATCCAGTGATTGAGAACTTGAGCATCGATCTGAGCAGTTGGGATTGGATGACATGCATCAACCAAGTTAGCAAGCCTAATCACCCGATCCCGTCAGCCTCTTCACACAAGCAAGGATTGTTAAAGATCTATTCTAACCAGGATCTTCACGACTTATGATGTGGTGGTCAAGATCGCGCAATATGTTTGATAAGTCAGAAATATCTATATTATCAGTTCTTCGAACGATAATTGCCGATTACATGTTTGTTTGTTGTTTAACGCCGCACTTAACAATATTCCAGCTATATGACGGCGGTCTGTAAATAATTAAGTCTGGACCAGACAATCCTGTGATTGACCCCATGAGCATCGGTCCACGCAATTGGGAGACGATGACATTAATCAACCAAGTCTGCGAGCCTGACCACCCGATCCCGTTAGTCGCCTCTAACGACAAGCCTAGTCGCCTTTTAGGGTAAGCATGGGTTGCTCAAGACCTATTCTACCCCCGGATCTTCAGGGGTCTCTGATTACAAGTACTTTGTGGAATTGTGATGTTGATTGTATACACATCTGTGTTACTTACATGCAGCCGTGCTTGACAGGCTAAAGCAATACTTAGTAACAACACGACCGTCGAGCCTGACGTAGACATCTTGTTCTTGTTGTTGTCAAAGTCCGCTGGTTATCTCGTGTGATGACGCCAGCAGCAGTGATGAGATTGGGATTCACCGTACACGAGGAAGTGCTACGTCTGGGTTATTTAGGAGATTAATCTACTGTGTTTTGAAATTTCATGTAGTCCCACTGTAGAGGAGATACCTCTTATTTTAATTTGTAACCGAGCGTTTCTCTGTAGGGTTGACATTGCATGCGGGTTTTTAAATTTTTAGTCGAACATGTCAATGAGTAATATATGGAACAAGAAACATCGTTATCACTATCCCCCGCCATTGGGCATAAGAATTTTGCTTGTTCGTGTAGTAGTGAGTGAGTATGGCTTTACGCCGCTTTTAGCAATATTCCAGCAATATCACGACAGGGGACACCAGAAATGGGCTTCACACGCTGTACCCATATAGTACAGTAGAGACTACCAGGAAAAAGGGCGGGTAACTCCAGAAAATAAATGTTACGGCATTTATTTTTCAAATGAATCTTGACAAATATCTCTTATAAGCATGCAAACTTTCATGTAGTTTCTCAGGAAACGTGTCCCCATTAAAGGCAGGATGCACAGAATCTATAAAAAAAATGTAGCAAGGGACGTAACTCTTGAAACAAATAATTTATGGTTAGGTAGCAATTTTCGAACTCACATCTTGATAAATATCTTGCTTATGAGTTTGCAAAGTTCGTTTGTGTAACGTCAGTAGTTGTTTTTTATAGAAAACACGTCTCCATTGCCGACACTAGGTAAAATAACAGTGATCAAGGGTCGCAACAGTGTGTGCACAGAATCTAAAATCCTGTAAGCAAGGGACGTAACCCTGGAAAATCATAATATATGGCACCATTTTTTAACTTCGGTAGTTTCTGAGAAAATGTTTCCCCTTTTCGCTCAGTGTACACATAGTTGAAAAGCATGGAGCCTGGCCTTAACTGTAAAAAAGTGAATTTAAGACATCAAGTTTCGAACTCACTTGAGATTGCGACCAGTAACATCAATCATGTCAATGTGTAAAATTTCCTTTCTCTGACTTGAGTTGTCCCCCGCCCCACTTAGTGATGTAATAATAACAGATAACTCTGAAATAACCTACCCGAATCTCTGAATTGCAGATTTTAAAATGTCAGTCGTGAATGAATTACCACCATTTAGACACACCGGAAAATACAAGAAGCCCACATGGCCTGTATCGCTCACCTGGATATTTACGCAATTATGACAAAATATACACTTGCATTGTATATCATATGTATATAATACTGCAAATATTTCGTAATTTTGACTCTGTCAGCATTTGAAATAGGTGGATGGCAAACATCTGACAGCATGAACGTGTATTTCTCTAGATACAAATGTAGCATAAAAATCTGAACCGTTTCCTTGTTATGTTCCTGGCATAAATGTATTATTCTCTTCACAACAACAAATGTATTCAATGTATTTGTTTATTAACCCTCATGGTGCCTGGACGTCAGCCAGCCTGCATACCGCTAAGTGTCGCACTGTGATGACGTCGCTGTTTAAAAAACGTATACATTGTATCAAAAGTGTTACAACGTCTTTATTTCTTCACACAGTGTAACCAAATTGTAAAACATGCAACTCGAGTTGATTGTCTTTCCATCAGTATCTAATGTCACCAAATCCAAAAGATCTATGCACTGCCTAGCCATCGATAAAAGTGCTGGTATTATAAGTTTCCTACTTTTCTACATTAATCGTAAAATGGAAGCATCCGAATATGGCAAGCAAAGTCAAGTACGGCCCTTGTTTGAAATCTAAATGTCCAATAATTCATATCATTGGCAAGTACATGTCCTAACAGTGATAGACATATGACATTTATGTTGAAGTACACATTCACTGAGAATTTTCTGTGAGTTATATTTACCGATAAAAAATCCCGATGAAATTGTGCGTGTTTTTGACGTCAAAATAGAATTGACGGAAGTGGTCGTGATTAATTCATACGCAGACTGTTTCAAAGATTATGTCGCAAAACGAATGACAGTTTGGAATGTATATCTTGAAGAAATCCCGACAATGTCCATGTATGTTTCAGTGACCGTGCTCTTTTATTAGTGATAAAAACAACTTCGGGGTAATTGACATCGTACATTTTCAAAGGACAAAATGTGAAACATCGCTAAACAGCCCTAACAATACTCAAATTGACATCGCTCAATATCGGGCATCATTATTATTTCTTAATAATTAACAAGATTATACTAACGTAATACGACCCAAGAGTAAGTACATGTAGATTCAATCAAAATTGTTGAAACGTTTTCATTGGCAGCAAATCTATTCAACAAACCTATTTTCGATCACTCGCAACTCGGGCGCCATGTCATTGTTTCACTATGACCACCAGAAAACATACGTCCTCGTCTCAGCTAGTATTTCGCACTTGGCTGCCTTACTTAGACCTTTGCTCAAAATATACTTGTATGGCCAGTCCATGAAATACCACTTTTTCTTTCATTTTTTCATTTGATTTATAAATACGACTTTAGAAGTGTATTTACACCTAGCTAGGTATGTGCATGTACATTTTAAGGACATACGTGATAGTTTATTTCCACTAGTTTCCCATTCCATCCCATTCTACTAAAGGAAAGTTTGAAATAGATAATGATGGTAGGTCAATGAAAGTAATGGAATTATTTGTCATAAAAGGAAAAATATATTCTTGCTATTGAACCTCGAACATTTAACCAGCAAAATATTTAATATAAATGGTTTTCAGTTATTATGTCTTTCCTTTTTTTCTTAATTTTGGCCCAGCTAAACTAAAGCTTGGAGGGAAGATATACAAATTAAAATGGTGAAAAAAGAACCACAAGAATGCTTTGATTTTGCTCTTAGACCAATATTTATTTTAAAAAATCTATTTCATACTAAGGATACAAAACAAAGTAATTACTACTATGTCACTGATCGAAGTATTTGGTAATTTAGTCAATGCAGAGTGAAAAAAGACATAAATAAAACTATATAAAACATCAAAACGAAATCACATTTACACTGAAAACATTTTGTCTTTCAGAAATCGATTAGCTATATATTGTGAGTAGATCTAATTACTTTTACTGTTGATGTTATAAATTGAACCATTCGAGATTCTAATAGATGAAGCAAAAATATTAAAAATCTAGGTTGTTTATATTCGATCCATTTTAACAGCTTTCTCACTGGAAAAAAATACATTCCCTTACTCAACTAAATATACATTATTTTTTTGGAATATCAAGCCTTCAAACAGATATGAAAAGCACATGTCAAGTTGTCAACATACCAAAATTAGAAAACTGCGCCAAATATTCTAACACTGTTACCAGATATGCTTTCTAGTTCAGTCAAAGAGAATATTGTTATTTGGAAAATGAAACCACGTGTATCCATTATACTACCACAACATTAGATCAGCTGTTTCATGTGACGTCATCCACGTCACAACACGCGAGGTCAAATCACGCGCACCTGTCCAGACGACAAATTCACAGCGGCGGGAAATCAACGACCGTCTATAAGCCTATTCGAATAAAATTGCAGATTTTAACGAAATAAAATTAAGTTTACTCATTGCTGACATTTCAGATGACATATCAAATAAGAGTTGAAGACTTGCAATAGATTATCATACGTTAATCGAGAGTACAGTGTACATCTAATATTAATATTAGATCTAATATCCATGGCAGAATGTTGGAAATACGAGCTGTCGTGTTATGATAATATATTCCAATTTCTGAAGAGATTAGTAATATGTATTTGATGATATATATGCTTACACAATTGGTTAATCAATTATCTTGTACAATCACAGCATGTACCCATGTACATTAGACTCACGGATAATACTATTTCAGCAAACCACAGCGCCATTATCACAGTTTCAATGAAAGGAAAAACAAATCGAAATCAAACTTTACAGCACATCGTATCCATAAGCGGTTAACCCAAATACAAAAAGGTATTGCTGTCATCATTGTAGAAGTTATGTTGATGTTTTCAGTAGTTGTATTATGTTTGTAACGCGTGTACCATCGACAGAAACGGGGGCCGAGCTACCACATGTGGAACCGACCTTGACACAATTTGTTTACAATTTGGCGTCGACTCACGTTAGATGTGGCCACACTTTTGAAATCTCCTTTTGCGACAAAATGTGAAGCAGTTAGGGCAAGTCACTCACACGGTCATGTAGTTTGAGCAATCACACATGACTCTTAGTCATTTCATTTGAAAAAAAGTGGCTATTATTTGTCTAAACGGGCGAGCATGTAGGACAACCGGTTGACAAGAAATCGCGGGACAGATATGATTCGAACGTGCCCTGTCGATCACTTCGGGCTTGGCCGTTCAATCTTTAGGTTTTGATCATGAACTTCCTGCCCATAAATATTCACTAGATCTATACCACCTTTATATTAACGATCATAGCTATCTTTCATTTCTTGGAATTGATTTTTTTCTGTATATCAGCATCATAAACAGAAAGACAATCTGCGCTGCCGTTTCGTCTCTAGCGCCGTGCTAAATCGCCATGACACGGTCGATAGCATATGCAATACTTGAACAAACAACTTCCGTGGCCGACTAAATGTTAGTACTCTTACGCCAATAACTGTACAGTGGGGACAAGTAAATCTTTCTAACCAGTCCGATCAGATTTCTTTTTCAAATTGGCTGTCTGATATGATAATAGTTACGTGTATGTGACATAGGTGCATAATAAAAAATTGCCTTCATTCGCATGAAGTTCAACATGGCAGAAAAAGATCGAGAAGCGCGGTAACCACGTTACTTATCTCGCCATATTTCCCAATCCGTAGCACTACATAAAATATGAGTTACCCGATATTAATGCTGAGATGATTAGGGTGATGATGATTATAATTTCATTCAATGAACGTCATAAATGTAATGGAAATATACACGGTCGTATTCTCATGTGTACCGACCATTCCGCCATTACCGATAGTCGATAAAAATATACAAAACGTGTAAATAAACTTGTTCGTAAAG